TGATTGAGATAAAGCGATGACAACTGTAGTCTGGCTACGGTAGACAGTATATAAGACATCCACACTCGTCACAACACGACGGCAATGGCGACTGTAACTGCATTATAGGCAACGTTATAGCATGAAACTTTACCGTTTAATAACTTATCTGAAAAGACTAGATCTTTCTGAGGATATGGTACATTAGTCAACACCACAGGCATTAAATTCAACATCAAATGTAACAGTTAACGATAGCTAACAGTGATACTGGTAGGACATATGTCCACGTCTTTATGTACAATATAACAGCTCTTACCTGACTGTTCGTTCAGAACGTGATCCGGGTTGCAGAGCCAGGACGGTTTCTTTACTATGGGGCTGCAGAGTTCCGGCTGAAGCTGTGGGTTTGGGTAGTTTTCTTTCTCCCAGGCGGTCCCGTTTACCGCCACTAGCACAGCCAGGAGAAACACACAGCAGAACCTCAGCTGCGACATGGTGACTGTAGAACACCAAGTTATATATAGTAAACTCCAACACTGCAGACAAAATGTCCTTCGCAGGCGAGGTCGACAAATTTCGTTCTCCTGTGTTTCCCGCCTTTTTGGAGCAAAACTGGTTCCCTATGATATAATGAAGTGGAGTTTTGTCTCGTAGTGATGAGAATGTACTTAGACAGGCAGCTGGGGTACCGGGAAGAAAAACCAGCTTACGTCACACGTGCACAGACTGACTGTGCGCAGGAGTTCTGGACAGAGGATATATAAGGGGGTTGAGTGAATCATTCCCTTATCCCTTAGTCATAGGATCTTGGTGTTATCATAGAAATTTTCAAGAAAATATTTTGTAACCCGGGGAGTGAGCATGGGAGCCCAAGAAAATTACATGTATGAATATAGGACGGCATCTTACACAGTGTATTGTATTGTTACGATTTAAAAAGTCATAGGTGGTCGTTGACGTCTGTTCCTCCAATTTTGTTGACGTACGAGTACCCTAGTTTCCACCAGACTTCTTTTGCGGGGTGAATAAATCGTAGAAATCGGCCTAAAAAGGGTATTAATTGGCCAGAGAAGATAGTCGGCCAGAAAAGCTCCATTGCCCCGCCAATCTGGCGGGGCAATATCCCTTATTCACCCCGCAAAAGAAGTCTGGTGGGGACTACGAGTACCCTAGTAGAATTCCCCCCTTTTTGTCCCAGGATTTTAGTTGAAGCTGGAAATTCGCCTGTGTCTCTACCAAGACAGCTTGCTGAGTTTGTTTTCTCCAGCCTACAATTGTAAAGAACTTCAGATGACAACGATAAGGCCACCACATGCGCAATGCCGAAGTGTTCTTGCCGCCTCAACAACACAAGTTCGAGACATTTACCGCGCGATTGTAAATACGTGGAGCGCATGGAGCGCCGCCTTGCGGACAAAGTTATGATTGCCGGTGTTCTAGTCGCGATCGGTCGGTATAATGTCTTAAATATTTCCATGGGTAGAAATTCCATTCAGATTGGCTAATGATAGCTTACATCTACATCATTTTTCCCCATTCGTGGTTGAATAGCGTTGTCCACTCATATTGAGCAATAGCCTGTGTGTTAGCCAATCAGCACCAAGGACAGCATCACCACCCCACCCCACCCCCATTGCAACGAAATATCGGCATTTCGCACCACAAGATGTCCCTGTCTGCTTGAATAGTAGTAGACTAGTTGTACCTATACTGCAATAGTAGTAAGACCTCGAGATGATTGAATTTTGGACTCCGTAACGGCTTTTTATCGTACTACAGTGGAACTCGGGATCCTATGGCTACGGTTATTGAATGGTTTCTACTAATTCTAGTTCCTAAAAAAAAGAAGGCCACTTAATATAACAGTACTTGGCAGTTATTTACAAGAGTACAATAGTCGGTCATCATGGTAAACCACCAACCTGAAGTTAGTACCCCATGATGATATTGGTATCGCCCGAGGAGACAGTCGTGCAGCAGCGCCACTTTTCCGAAATTGTCAGCATTACAGACAAAGCATCTAAACGTACCAGACATATTTGCGTCTGTTACATAAAAACAAAGAATTTCAGTCCATCATACATGAGAAATGCATTTTCTCTACTTCAGTTTATAGTAAAAAAAAAACTTCCAGTAGTAAATAGCTACTAACTTCGTTTGATTTCCAACTGTTTAACTGATAAGATACAGAAATCCCTTATCGTTCCCTGCTGTCGATTTTTGTTTTCCCCCTCGACAGCTGATCGCTCGGTCGAACCAGAGTGCGCTGGTTTCAGACTCTGTGGCCGTCACGCGTCACCTATCCGAGACACTGCTACTACCAGGAGTTCTCTGTACATCACTTTTACGGTAAGTGTTAAGTAGAGACCACTATTATCCAGATTATCCCAGTGCTAACTACTACTCCAATACTGCTAGTGCTAGCCCCTATAATTTAAGTGGGCGTCCGTAGCCGCGGTGGGCTGTCATCTGTCCGAGACACTGCCAAAAAAAAGGTACCTGAACGTTCGCTGTAGATCACTTTTACGGTAAGTTTTCAGTTGAGACGACTATATAGTCCAGATTATCGCAGATTTTGGTAAAGTAGTCTGCTAATTAATTCCACTGCTAGCCCCTATTAAAGGCATTAAAGTGGGCGGTAACCCGCATAGAGCGCTTGGATACAGCATTATTATTATTTTGACACCATCCTTATGATGTATGTTTTCTTTTTACAATCGATTTGTGTTGAATAGCATTTTCAAAATTGTTATGGACCCTGCATTCGATATGCAAACCTGTTATTTATGGTGGCGCAATTCAATGCATGTGCATATCAATAATTGTTAAGGATGCTTTCCAGAAATTCCAGGTGTTTTATATAATAGTTCAGTTGCATACTGATGTTGCTAGGGTCAAAATATGTTGCATCATAATTAGTGTAAGTCGTTGTTTTTGCTGAATAAGATTCTACCTTTCATACAGGCATGTCTCTCTTTGTAATACACTAACATTTAGTGTACAGTATTTAGGTTTTAACTTCAATGTTATTTTAGCAATGAGCGACAACTGGCTTGCATGGATCAGTGAGTTTTTATCAATTACATAACTATGAGTAAATGTTGAAACATTCTGATTATACTAATTGTTCCTCTTTACATGTGAATACAAAATACAGCAATTTTGTCTTGTAAGAAAATTTCGATAAGAAAAAAAGACTGTCGGTCACAAATTACAACCAGTTGTGGTCGGTTGTGGCCAGTTGTCGATCATCAGGTGTTTAGGCACGCTGGTTTTTAAGTACACACTGATGTAATGTATGTCAATATTTGAGGGTGTGACTTCAGCACATGGCTCTCATGCAATCCAGTGCCGGGACCACATCATACTGCCTACACACACACCACTTCAACCTTTACCCCACTCTCTACAGACATGTTTACATTTTGATAACATTCCTCTGAAGTGCTGATTGTTATCAAAGTCAGGTGCCTGGCACACCTTGGCTTCAGCACATGACCTGAGTATAATAATAACTTGCACTATTTATTTATTTATTTATTTATTAGACTTTCCAATGCAACAGCAAGTAGCATGGAGGAGAGACAAAACAGGTGCATATATGCACCTCTGCCAGTTGTCTCTCCACATACAAAATGCATAATAAAACAGTAATGATACAAAAATAGACAATTTAACTGACAACATACTATAACATATTAAGATATATAACAATATAGTGACAACTATAGGGCAGTTACCGCGGCCTTGTGGCCATACAGGTCACATCTGCAAAAAGATATCCAGCTACATGCAGCAGCATAGGTGTCATAGACCACATTAAACCTGTTATGTAAATATTTGTATAAAGTACTAGACAAGTACTACTATATTAGCATTACTGATTGTTATCGGAATTAGGTGCCTGGTACACCTTGGCTTTATCAGCACGTGATCTGAAGCCCACATTGATTAGTATTTTAATGTAAACTTGCACCAGTGACCGTACGGGTAATATTTCAGGACCTGAAATATCACCCGTACGGACACATACCTGGTATTTAGCAATGTGGAGATCACATGTGCATGACACAGTCTTACATAGTCTCACCTGACTGAAATATGCTGAAGCAACAATTACACACCAAAAGATACGACTATTGATCATAGTACACCATTGCAGGGTTGGACATTTTAGTCCCATTGCCCAAGTAAAAGTACTGTTCGGGCAAGTGAATATCCCCCTGTACTTGCCCGATTGAGCAAGTAAAATTTTTGGATGCGAAGTATAGCCGCTACAGTATTTGGAGCAAAATTACTCATCATTTTGCCATAATGATATTACAGTATGGTAATGCCCTTTTGTCAGAAAATCCAAATAGCAAGTCTCAAACCACCTTACTTTGATGAATAAAGCAAGTAGCAATATAAACTCTAAAATAAAATAATTTCCTTGCTGGTAGTTAAAATGCCTACAAGAATGTCCTGTATTATATTTTGGGCAAGTGAGAAGTGAAATGACGATGTACTTGCCCTACAGGGCAAGTCGATTTTTGAAAAACTTGTGCAACCTTGCGGTCACCTGACTATCAGCTAAAGATGAACTATCAAACATCAGTGCGATAAAATATGCTTATTCCTGTTGCAAGATAGAAATTTCCAATAGGAGACAGGGTAAATAAACCATTGGAGGAAAGAAAGGACCGCAATAAATATCTATGATATATTTGAGATACCTGATATGGTACTCCAATCCAGTCAGCCTAAAAGCAGAGGCTGACTTACAGGTCATTGACCTCTGCAATCCTAACCTGCTTGCCATCCTCCATAGTTACCACTCAGGCTCCCTACTGTCGCTGGTAGCCAGTGACAACAAGGAGGCTACCTTGGAGGGCTGCTAGGTTACAGCAATTGAGGCATATTATATACATGTAAAGATTACTGCTTGCAAGAAAAAAATCATATACTTTGAAGTATGCAGAAAATCTTGGCCTAGGTTAATAGGCCCCTAAAAGAGCCCCTCAAAGAGGTGTACAGCACATAGTGGCCTCTAAGCTTTATATAGTGCCCTGATGAGACAGTCTAGCCGGATCAGATGACAAATATTTCTATTTGGCTGGGATACGTATTGGTGCAGACTGTTTGCTACCTGATAGACTGTCGTTTATTCTGTCAGCTGATTCAGATTGATATCATACATTAGTTCCCTGATAACTTAAAAGGGGCTCCATTCCTCTGAGTTTGACTCATATTGGGAGCTGCAAGGGTTACCATAAAAAGGTAAATCGCTGGATTTGTTGTAAACAATATATTTGTAGCGTCAGACTAAATATAGATAGAAAACCAGGACATAAGAAAACTATATGCGTATAATGCATGATATAATGAAGATGCATGTAGTGTATTTAAAATCATGCAGTTTTAGCCACTCACTAATTCAATAATGCTTGATCTTGAATTAGAGTAGCCCAAAGACATAAAAAGTTATGCCTTAACCTTACAGTTACAGCAAAATACATACATACAGGTGACCCTTCTAAGGGCACCTACTAATTCAATGGATTGAAACAGTACTACATGTATATCCCAATACCGGTAGTGGATTTAGTAGTAAAAGCAGCAGCTACAAAGTGTATTGATTTTTATGTGTTTCAGCTGAGGTAGCTCCTGGTGCCACACAGCATTATATTCTGCATGGCCAGCAGGAGACAATCAATATGTAATGCACATTGTAACCTTTTATACCAATTGGCTGGCGGGTTTATCTGTGAACGCAGCAAAATACGTCTAGACATAATCCGATGTGTATGCCATTTTAATCTTGACCTTTGCCTTAAAGAAGTAATCTAATTTTTGGCCAGATCTGGAGGGAAATGGTGTAAGATTCTGCAGGATTTAATGTTAGCATGGTAATGTCAATCTTTGACCAGTTACAGATGATCTGAAATGACTAACTGTGGTTAGTGGACATTACACAGGCCAGATAAATGAAGTTGCTTCTTTCTAAAACCTTGGCTTCATCATCATCTTCTCTGTATTTCAGTGCTTGGCACTGAAGCATGCCATCAATGTCTTCATCATTCTTTCATTTTCTATGACACTTGTAATGAACCATGTGTGTGTTTCATCTGTTTCAGGACATTTCTCCATTACCGTGATGAGCTGAGAGGATTGTCGACATTTCTTCTTGACTTGTAGTGAGAAACAAGGCGACATCGTGACCCGTGAGAGGATGGTGAGAACAACTTGTCGAAGATGCCTCTGGACGAAACCACTCCTCTTATTCCTCCCCCGGTCTCGCGGTGGCAGCCCCAGCCACAGAAGAAACGCTTCAGCACAAAAACTATTGGCCATAAGACCAACCTCGGCTTCAAACCTGGCGTGAGGACTAAGCCACGCCACGTCTTCTCTTACCGCCAACCGCCGCCGCCACCCCCCACTCCGCTCGCGTTTACCTTACCTTCAGAGGAAGAGGAGGAACCACCCAAGCGGTCACTATGGCAACTGTTAGCCAATGGCGGCATCATGTTTGGGGTAGAATTCTGCTATGCATTAGAGATGGCGCTAGTGACGCCCATCCTACTGCAGCTGGGGGTGCCTGAGGAGTACTACACGTTTATCTGGTTCATAAGCCCGGTTCTCGGGTTCCTGGTGCAGCCGGTACTCGGCTCCTGGAGCGACCGTTGCACGGCGAGATGGGGGCGGCGCCGCCCCTTCATCCTAGCTTTGTCAGTAGGGATCCTGGTCGGGCTGGCGCTGATGATGAACGGTGAAGACATCGCAAACGCCACCTTTAAGGACGGTCAGACTGCGACGTACGGCGCCATTGTACTGACGATCCTCGGGAACGTCATGCTGGACTTCTGCGCGGACTCGAGCGACAGTCCGTCCCGGGCCTATCTCCTGGACTCCTGCTGTCAGGACGACCAGGACAGGGGTCTCAGTCTGCATGCCCTGATGGGAGGTGAGATTATGGCAGGGGTCACATGAATGGAGTCTGGCCAGAAGGAATGGGTAGCAATGTTTAAGACATAACATTTGCACCTGTTAGTCTGAAGAAAATTTATATTTGCTACACCTAAATCTAATCAGTCTTGCACTTTACCCTTCTAAAATTTTTGTCCCAACATCACATTTAGATATGGTGACTTTCAACAGTAACATAGAATAACGGGTGGGCATTCTGAGGTTCCATGACCTCAAGGTGGTTAACATCCCACCCTGTGCTAAGGTTCTTCTTTTAACACTGTTGAACTGGTCCTTTTCTTTTCTCCTAGGTCTTGGAGGAGGAGTAGGCTATGTGGTGGGAGGGGTGGACTGGGACCAGACCATTCTCGCTACGTGGGTGGGGTCCGGCCAGCGCGTTGTCTTCACCTTTGCAGCTGTCTCCTTTGTGTTGTCTGCCATTGTGACACTGTTCAGTATCAAGGAAATTCCTCTGGAAAAACAGGGCAAAACTGACGTGAGCTCATCAGATCATGTTAACAATCGCCCTGATTCGGTCATGAGTGATGTGACATCTATCTGCTCTCTCACACCTACAACACCTTTAAGTTTAACCACCCCCATATTCAACTATGGTTCAGTCCATTCAATAAACCGAGTTCAATCACCGAATGATGCCAACAGTCATCACACCAGCAATGACGGGATTGCCTCGGCGAATTCTGAAGATGACACCGTGCCAGATCTGATGCAATTTCAGACGAAAACACGTAAAGAGCAGAGGCACATGGTGACCAGCTCTTACCGGCCGCTGCGCAGAACTCAATCCATGCCGGGCGATGAAATAGCAAATGTGCCAAAGTACGTCGAAGAGGAGAAGTACTTTACAGACGGGTACGTAAGCGAGGAAGAGGTACAAGAAAACTCCCGCAGAAGAGAACAGACAAATAATATACCTCGCCCTAACAACTTAGATCTAATAGATGACAATTATCCACACAGTGTTAGTTTTAATGAGGAAGTTACTACTTTATTGCAAAGCAATGGTACGATACGTGCAGATAGCAGAGAGAGTTCCGACTCAGATGAGGATGAAAAGGACGATGTTCTGACAGTGAGAATGCTGTACATGGCCGTCATCAAGATGCCCACAGTGTTGAAGAGACTGTGTTTCTGTCACTTTCTAGGATGGCTGGCTATGGAAGGTACATCAAAGTCATTGACCTGCTTGAGTTGTACAGTTACTGTCAGTAGTAGTAGCAGTTAGCGATGTAATTATCTGGACTATGTGTGATCTCTAGCTACTGTAAGGTACTAGTAGGTACTAGTAGCTAGAGTGTAGATAAGTAATGTTTTGTACTAGCAGTATAATCTGTTACGGTTAGTAGTAGTGGTTACTGTAGTAGCAATAGTAGTAGTTAGTAGTACTAGAAGTGTAATTTCTAGTTACTGAAAGTAGTAGTAGTGCATGTAGTTAGTGATGTTATGTTTTGTACTAGGAGTGTAATCTCTACTTACTGCTTAACTAGTGTTAGTATATGGGGAACAAGAAATGAGTGAGTGAAAATGAATTATATAGGTAAAAGCAGTACATGTATGTTACTGGACTGATCATGAGTGCTACATCTCGGACTTTGTTAATTGTTTACTGCATATCAGAACAGATGCAGACATTAGGAATTTGTATGTAAGATTACTCACACTTCAAATAATTTGACTCTTACTGTGAGTTTTTGTCTCCCCATCTACAGCAATCCTGATGTTCTTCACAGACTTTGTGGGAAAGACAGTTTTCCACGGCAGTCCCACGGCAGATCTGGGGACTGACCCTTACCAGAACTACAGCCGTGGTGTAAAGATGGGCTGCTGGGGACTGTGTATCTATGCCTTCTCCTCTGCCATATACTCAGGTGGGTTGGGACATAGAAAACTAACACTAAAAAACTTTTCGAGAATGATCAGTCTGATTACAGATTGTTTTTACATTAGTTGCATGGGCTAACTAACAATAAGTGCAATTTTATCAGTTGGCAGTTCAATATCTTTTCAGATCACTTTGTTTTCACTAGGTGGATGTAACATTTGTCATAAACAACGTTTGTCATAAACAAAATGTCTTCCCTAACAGCAAGTCTTCACCAAAAATACTCCAGAGGCCATCACAAAGTCCATTGCTGTTGCTCTCTGATCTAGTAATTTTATTTCCCTTTGTCAGAACGTTCGTGTTGAATACTTGTACATGTTCATGTATCGTTCATGCTAACCATTCCAGCAACAGATTAGTTTTTACACACAGTATGTTGTTCTTTCCCAAACACAGCCCTTCTAGATCCACTGCTGGATGCAGTTTCAGTTCACTCTGCCTACTTCTTCGGGTACCTGGTGTTCTCCATCGCTGCAGCTCTGTGTGTGATGTTTCCCAACACCTACGTGGTTCTTAGCATGTGTGTAGCCTTTGGCATCATGTTTGCGACCCTCTGTACCCTACCCTACACCGTACTGTCAGATTTTCATCAGAATGCAGAGGTAAGCAATGGGCAACATTAGCCTGAGTGTCAGCCTTGTTAGGTTTCGTCCGCTACCCAAGGTCCGCTCCCCGTTGGCCGATTTTCTTAGAAGTAATGCATGTGAGGGATGCTCAAGGTAGAATGGAAGACTTGTTGTAGGATTAAGTCAAGGACTAGCACTGTTCGTGTCTCTAGACTTGTCCTTTTCACAGCCTCATGTTTTTATTTGCATGATTTTGGATGATCTTTTGCAACTAAATTACATGTCCCAACTCTAAAATGAAGTCCCATCCTAACACAGAAGGCAAGTATCATAGAATCTGACTAGAGTAATCCATATTATGTAATGATGCTTACCGTACCTTCACCTAAATTTCAGGAAAAATAAATATGAAATTCCTGCCATTTACCACTATTGTATTTTAGCACTTTTTCATCATGCAAATGAGTCATTGTCTTTGTTCACCCTCTCCAGTTCATACAGGACAGTCCAGGGAGCAGCAAGCGAGGGTTTGGTCTGGACACCTCCCTCCTCAGCTGTCAGATCTTCCTGGCGCAGATCGTGAACGCCGCCTGCCTCGGACCTCTCATCTCCGTCACCGGAACGGTCAACGCCGTGCTTCTGTTCTGCTCCGCTGTCGGGTTTGTCGGCTGTTTCTGGAACGCGCTGTTTGTCGTGTACGAGTTAACAGGGAAGGACGAGGACATTGAAGAGAAAATTCAACCTGTCGTCTTTTGAGAAGACTCACCCTGTCCTTGATCTAAAAAAACTCTTGCTTCCCAGCAAATGAAACAAGTTATTCTGGAACACGCCGTTTGTTGTGTACGAGTTACCAGGAAAGGACGAGGACATTGAAGAGAAAATTCAACCTGTCGTCTTTTGATCTCCAAAAAAAATAGTTGCTTCCCAGCACTTGAAATAAGTAAAAATCGCTGCTTGGGACTGTTGTGAATAATTTTTGTCGCATGACAATCATAGTTTGTCACTTGCATGGTGTAAACAAATGTCCAACTCTCACTTGTCCGAGAGGTAAAATCGCAACAGAAAATATATTTTCCTTGTTACAGATTACTAGGATATCCTATGAATCACCTTACGACTTACTGTAGGTTTAGTGAAGTTGTGCATTACAACACTAAGTGTTGACACAGATCATTCCATATGTTTAAGAATGTGTACAAACTTTCAAATGTCAAATTTTATCCTGGACATGCACTTGTAACTGTAGATTGATACTGTACAAACTTTAACCTGAACTATCATGATACCATGTACAGGGTCTCCTGGGATTTAAGAGTCCCACAACTTGATATAGGAATCTTTTATAACCTTGTAAGAGTTATCTGCCCAATCTGTAACGCTTTTAGATGATGAATTCATCTAAAATGTTGAGTTAAGCTATGGAGTCCATCCTGACTTAAGTCATGTGATGAATATTTAAGATGCTACAAGATGCATGCTCAGTGAATTTTAAGGGTTAGCCATTGAAACAAGGGGCTGTTATATTGAATTATTACAGGAATATGATTATGCAAATTATATCAAATGTGCAATACTACTTGTATATTAAAAGCAGGGATTAACTTTGAAATTTAATTGTGATAAAATAGGACAAATCTAATGGTAGTTCCTGTAAAGTTGAGAAATGAGTATATACTATGTTGCTTTAGTGATGTTTTCTGGTTTTTGTATTTAGGTAGAATACTCAACCAAGCTTTTAAAACTAGAACTGTGCACGTTCAAATGCCAGGATGAAGTATATGCAATACAAGAAGTCAAAAGATTTTTCTGTAAGGAAGTTCAGTGTCATGGGAAAATGCCTGTATAGCATTAAAGTAATCTTTATGCGAGTCTGTACGAATTCTTTCTATCAACTAATTGTTGTCATGTACAAATGTATATCCTGTAGTGATAGTCAACATACACGTAGGACTTAGTTGAAGTAGTGGGTTGTCTGTTTTCCATTACCTGCACTTCAGTTTAAAAACAGATACGACAAAAGAAACAGCAGACTCCAAAGGTACCAAGTTGTACTTTTTATGAAACAGCCACAGAAATGTCATTGCAGCACTGCAAACTTCACCAAACCCTTCCCCTAGACAGTCTCAGACTGAACGTACATAGCGATTCCTTCTTTTAAGATCTCTCATACTCAGATATTCCGTTGCTTTTAGCTATACAAGTCACACCACTCTACAGGAACAGATGATAACTTTGCATTCTCTTAATTCGCTTTACGTATATCTATATGGGTCTAATTATTTTCAAAGCAATGTGTTCATTGGATGAAATTAACGTCACTAGTTACACAATCCTGTAATTTGATTAGCTGGCTGTTCTCCTTGTGCTGCCTGGTGACGGTTAGTGACCTATTCCTTGGTGGTCATGTACTGGATCAGGTCCACGACACGGCAGCTGTAGCCGAATTCATTGTCGTACCTGTGGAAAAACATCAGTTAGGCACATCACAAACTATTGGGAATGTTGGAGATAGCTATCACTGTATTTCCCATCAAATACATCTGTGCCACCCTATCCATACAGTTTTGCTACTGCCTTCTCTGCATCCAACCATCAAACTTCACAAAAACCAATTATACAGTTGCAGTTAACTCTTCACTTTCGACATTATTGTACATAGAACTAGACTGTACTTGATAAAGCGCTTTACTTTAGTTCTAACACATAGTGGAATTGGACCTACAAATCATGAACTCATTTGAATGCACTAATGACAATCTCTTTCATCTTAGGACAGAGTAGGATTAGCCAATAACTTTGCAAGGCCAGTCCCATTTTATCATTTACCATTACAAACAACAGCTATCATGCACCCACTAATGCATACACTTACCAAGAGACAAGCTTGACAAAGTTGTTGGTCAGCGCGATGCCAGCCTTGGCGTCAAAGATACTGGAGTGGGTGTCACCCATGAAGTCCGAGGACACCACCTGACATGCGGGCATGCAGTTTTTTTTTAGTACACAAGCTCAGCCAGCTCATACAAGAGTGTGCCTGTACCTGTGTGGTTCACACACACACACACCGACATGCATACACACACATTGCACATTGGCAGAACATACTGCGCCGGCGTAAAACCATGGTTTCTGTTTTGGTCAGCATTGCTTTCAAATTTTGTAAGTTGCATAAAATATCTTGTCTGACACAACATTTCAATACACAAAGACAACTTTAAATGATACGCGGCTCTGTGGAAGTGATATGCGAGTTGTGTTCCAGATTTCTCATAGGCGCAGTACGTTCTGCCAACATGCTCACACACGTGCACATCCTCACCATGTGATCAGCTTGACAAAATTATTATTCAGAGCAATGCCAGCCCTGGCATCAAAGATACTGGAGCAGGGATCCCCGATGAAGTCAGCTGACACAATCTGGCCCAGAGGAACAGACGAGCGAAGGAACAAAAGGACGGATGACAACAGGAACGTGGGAAAATTCAGGGGAAGAACAGGAGGAATGGAGAAGGGTGAAGTGGAGAATAAGAGAATGAAGCAATGAAAGAAGTAGTAGAGAAGACCGTGATTGAAATGAATATGACAGAGACAGACCATTCAAAAATTCTTTTGTCTCAATTGTACAGAGAATCAGGTGGAAGAATGGTACATGTAAAACATTCAGTATACAAACTTAATATATATATAGATAACACATGTACAAGTATTACACTCCTGTCTAAAATACATTTGCAAACAATCCTGAGGCTCTGCAAAGAGGATGATTCAATCTAAGCAATCATTAAAGTCCAACTTACATCCTCATCAGTGTATCCCAGATATCCCTTCAGTGGGCCGTCAGATGCAGCCTTCACCACACTCTTGATCTCATCATAGGAAGCCTTTGGGAAGGGGGGGGGGAGAATAGAGAGAAAGTTCACTCTTTGGGTTGGCTCAACATACCGGTTTTCATCATCTACTGATCTTGTAAACAATTGCGTAGTCCCTCAGTCAAGCTAGATTGATTTCTAATAAAGTAAGTGTAATAAAACTTACTTATTACCGGTGACTGCCAAGTTGGTTCAAGAATGACCAGATGTTATAGATGAATAGCAGAAGATTTTATACTTACTCCCTTCTTCAGTCGGCAGGTCAGATCGACCACGGACACATCAGGGACTGGCACACGGAACGCCATTCCTGTCAGCTTACTGTAAAACAGGAAAACTATTTACATATCAAAGGAAAACTATTAGATATGGGAAATTTCAAATCTCACAGCTGTGCTGAAAATGCTGTACCAATACAAAAACCAGAACAAGAAGTTGAGTTTCGGCATTGTAGCATCTAACACCTGGCTGAAGTCCAAGGATGAATTTTTTCTAACACTCCTCAACATCTTGAACACTTGTTTTGTTTAATTTGTTTATTATATATATTTTTGTGAAATATGACACCTTTTGTTATTAACATGATTGCCTTATCATTACATTAACAATGACAAATGATGTAACTTTACATTCCCATACTTTTGTTATTTTGTCTTTTGTTATTTTGTCTATTATGTACTATATTCTCTATGTTGTATGATTTCTACATACTGAATAAAGCTGGGAAAAAAATTTTTTTTTAAATCTTGACTAACCCGTTCAGCTCTGGGATGACCTTGCCCACAGCCTTGGCTGCCCCAGTGCTTGCTGGGATGATGTTCTGGCCGGCGCCGCGCCCGTCACGCCAGGCCTTCGCGCTCGGGCCATCCACGGTCTTCTGCGTGGCGGTGAAGGCGTGTACCGTGGTCATCAGGCCCTCCTCGATGCCAAAGTTGTCGTTGATGACCTTGGCAAGCGGGGCCAGGCAGTTGGTGGTGCAGGAAGCATTGCTGTTTATAACAGATACACAAGTACAGATTTACGTACAAGTACAACAGACTAAGAACTATAATTAGAAAGGCTGACATTTGGTTGGTAGCAAATACAGCATATTTCAGTCCATTCAATCCCTCCCATTTCAGAATGGACATTTTGGCCTGAAAATGGCCTTGGAAAACAATTTTAAAAGCCTGCATCCAAAAAAAGAAAAGAAACGTTTGGAAAGTATTTGACCACTCTACCTTCATGCCAAATTTCAGGTAATTTGGTAAAAAAAAATGGCAGGAGAAGGAGAAAAGGAAGAAAAAACATGAGGGAAAACAATATATTTCATAATAGGGAAAGAAGTAGGATCCAAAAACTAATTATGACTTGAAAATAATAATTAAATCAACACATTATCAGACACAGAAGGCATGAAAAAATAACTGCTTGCAGCTGTAAAATGTTTGTATCCATCCCAACCTCCCCACGCTTCTCACCTGACAATGTCCATGCTCTTCTCATACTTCTCCTCGTTCACACCCATGACGAACATGGGAGCATCGGCAGACGGAGCCGAGATGATCACCTTCCTGGCTCCGGCATCGAGGTGAGCCTAAAACACAGTCAGTCAATCAATCAATCAATCAATGAGGCAAACATCAACCAATCACTGCCCTAGCTGGCCTAATTGCTGGCAAAAACAAGTGTTGTCAACCCGCTCAAAGTCGACAAGAGCTAGAACTAACTAGTATGATGCCTCTCTAGCTACCTTGGCCTTGGCGATGGTGGTAAAGACGCCAGTGGACTCAACGATGTACTCAGCACCTGCATCCTTCCAGGGGATGTTAGCTGGGTTCATCCTGAACAGAAAGATTTAAAAAACATAGGACGTTACATGGAGGTCCCATGTGTGGGAGAGCCACACCTCATGCACGTTAAAGAACCCACCACACCTTTCGAAAAAGAGTAGAGGCATGCGATTGTCCAAATACTATCGTTTTTTGGTCATCGACAAAACTCGCGACTTGACAACAACTATCAGGGAGTCTGGTGCACGGATCGCAGTATCAGGAGTCATCTCCCGGGCAGATACGGATCCAGAACGGACACACCTGATCAACCTTGGTCTCGCAGAGATGTGTACGTCTAATGGCATGACTTTTATTGATAACAGCAACATCGGACCACTCTATGTATGCCGAGACGGAGTACACCTAAACGGACATGGAACCGTCCAACTGGCTACGAACTTGATCAGTTTTATCAGGGGCGATAAGCAGTCAAGGGTCCGTGTCGGTACGTCCTACTCCGATGCCGTGAGGTCTGCAACAACAACGGCGGGTTTTCAAGGTCGCGGTGCTCCCAACAGCAGGTGGAAGTTCCGGACGGCGGAGCAGACAAGGCTGTTAAGGTTGGCAGAGAGACTGTAACTCAGGCTAATATTTTGCCACCACAGCGTAGAACACTTCCATCACTCTTACTTAGTAATGCCCGATCACTGATTAATAAATTGGACGACCTGTCTGATATGCTGAACAATAATAAGATAGACATAGCCGTTATCACGGAAACCTGGTTCACTCACGAGCACCCGTCTGAGTGTATAGATGTTAGTGGTTTTAATTTGTTTTCTCGTTGTCGAAATGAAGGCCGCGGTGGAGGTGTGGCAATTTATGTTAAAGATCATATATCTGCGGAGACTCTAAATTTTATTGAAGTACCCACAGAACTTGAGTGTCTGTGGGTACTACTCAAACCTAACTGGTCGCCTCGTTCGATTTCTAATATTGCCATTTGTGCTGTCTATCACCCTCCAGCGTCTTCATACCAGGAATTGCTCTGCAAACATCTCATAGACAGCGTTGATAAGATAAACACCAAGTATCCACTTGCTGGGATTTGTGTTTTAGGGGATTTTAATAGATGTGATGTTACTAATGTTCTACATGGAGCCCAGCTGAAACAACTTGTTAAACAGCCCACCAGGGGAGATGCCATTCTTGATTTAATCATTACTAATTTGTATCCCTTTTATCACCGTCCTCGTATCGAAGAGCCCTTGGGAATGAGTGACCACAACACGGTTATATGGTCTCCCTGTGATCATATACCTGTTAATTCTAAAATAAGAACACAATTTCGTTCCTTTAAAGACTCTGAAGTGCGCTCTTTCGGTCGTTGGATTTCCTCGCACCCCTGGACAGAAGTTTTTGATGCCCCTGATATTCAAACAAAAGTAGATACATTGTATCAAACCCTTCATTCAGAAATAGATCAACATTTTCCAATGAAATCCTTTGTGAAACACAAATCTGACAAAGAATGGATTACTCCCCAAATTAAAGCTGTTATCAAGAAGCGACAGCGGGCTTTTCACTCTGGAAATATGCCATTGTATAGAAAGCTTAGAAACAATGTGAATCGCTTGTGTGTGAAGGCAAAGAAAAGACATTATTTGCGTAAGATTCAGGTGCTTAAGAAGGAGAACCCAGCTAAGTGGCACATGCATCTACGAAATATACTAAATTTTCGGCGTAGCTTATCAGTTTCCGTCCCCAGCGCTACGTCCTTAACGGACAAGGAGATTGCTGATGTGATCAACCGTCACTTTTCAGACATCGTTAACCAACTTCCATGTTTAGATCCTGAATCATTGCCATCTTACTTACCTTCTCCTTCCAGACCACCACAAGTACATTCCTGGGAGGTCTACGAAATTTTAAAACGCATTGATGCAAGAAAAAGCTGTGGTCCCGATAATCTGTCCCCCAAGATTGTCAAAACCTTTGCCGTTGAATTGAGTGATATATTGGCACATATTTTCAACTGTTCTTTGGATGAGGGACGAATACCCAAACAGTGGAAAGAAGCCATAATTTCACCCATTCCAAAGAAAAGCCCTGCAACAGTTGAAAATCTGCGTCCCATATCACTCACTTCTATCTTGATAAAAACGTTTGAATCTTTTATCACAAAATGGATCCTTCTTGACATAAGCGACGTTCTTGACCCTAACCAATATGGCAGTAGAAGGGGGCGATCATCTGTTCACTACCTCACTAGTTTGGTTGACTCAATACTTCTTGGGCGCCGACACCCCTAAAACTATCCAGACTGTCCTGTTAACTGATTTTAGTCAAGGCATTTGATAAAATTGATCATACAGTATTAATCCATAAACTGTTAACTTGTGGTGTACGTACTTCTATTGTACCATGGATAAGTGATTTTCTCAGTGAACGTACACAGTGTGTTCGGTACAGAGGCGCAACTTCTGGTTGGGAGAGAATTTCATCAGGAGTTCCTCAGGGAACCAAATTAGGGCCTGTTCTCTTTTTAGTATTTGTAAATGAGGCAATGGAATCTTTTGTGGATAGATGGAAATACGTAGATGATCTGACTTTAAAGGAAAGCAGATTATTAAGTGTACCAACCTCGATGCAAACATCGGTTAATCAACTTGAAATGTGGTCGTCAGAAAATCATATGTCACTAAATGAAGATAAGTGCAAAATAATGAACATCACTTTATTAACGACCCTCCTCCTCCCCCCGATATCCTTCTTAATGGTAAAGTCCTTGAGCATACAGAAGTGGCATGCATACTTGGACTGTGGTTGACGGCGGATATGAAATGGGATAAGCACGTAGAGGTCATTACGACAAAAGCAAGCTCACGGCTCTACTGGTTAAAGAAATTAAAACGTTTCGGCCTTCCCATCAACGACCTTTGCGAAATCTATTTATTATATATACGACCAACCGTTGAATATGCTGCCCCTGTATGGAATGCCAATATAACACATCAACAATCCGATAAATTAGAACGAATACAGAAACGTGCGCTAAGAATAATTTTAGGCCCTCAATACTCATGTTATGATGAAGCCCTTTCCCATTTTGGCCTCTGTACCTTGAAAACTAGACGAGAATCGCTAAGCCTTAAATTTGCCAAATCTCTGTTGCATTCGCCGACGTTTAGAAACTGGCTGCCCCCGCTACGGAAAGATGTTCACAACAGAAATTTAAAGGGCAGTAATCAGCTCTGTATTCCGATGGCAAGATCCAACAGATATAAAAACAGCCCCATTCCATACTTTACTGCACTTCTGAACAACGTCAGGTAACCTATCAGTGTGTGGTAATTTTTATTATGATTATTGTCTAATTACTTTAATTATTTTACTATGTATAGTAGTTTCTATAGATTTTATTAAGTGTTTTATTCATTTCTTGTAACTGCCTAATATGCATAATTCAGCGACTTGTACTATGTACAAGTCGCTGCAATGTATTTTAGTGTATTGCTTTCAATTGAAACAATAAACCAACTATATACTACTATCTGGTGATTCACCATGGACTCCAGGAAAAGTAGTGTGAAATTCACACTAATGGAGATCCTAAACAATCAAACAAACAAACATCAATTCACATTCTCAAGAAATAACAAAAAAATGGGGAAGCAGAAAAAGGTTTAGCTCAAAATATCTTCTCCAATAAGGTAATGGCAGTGAATGTCTGTTTTAGTCCTCCAGTTCATACACACATCAGTAACCTCATCATTCAATTACATATTTCAAACTGCACAACAGTAGTCAAACTTACTCATTGAAGACCTTGATTTTCTTCCCGTTGACGACCAGAGAGGAGGAATCAGCATCGGCAGCCAGCTCGCCCTTGAACCTGCCATGGGTGGAGTCGTACTTGAACATGTACACCTGTGCACGGACAAGGTCAAGTGTTACTGTATCATCTCACACCTTTACATAGACATGTATCAATAACATTCTTTCCTATAACTATTAAAAGAGTGGAACTTGTCACCAAGTACAGTAGGGGCATTATCATCAGATAGCTTCAAACAATGTTTAGAGTTAGATGTTCAAGGGTTAGGTGTAACAAGTTGTTCGGTGTAATGTAGCCAGCTGCCACCGCGCCGCATGCCTGCGAAGTTGGTGTGTTATACGAAAGGGCAGTTATACCAGCTATACAGATACCGATGTACTGGTAAGACAGGACAGGTACAATACTCAATATATAATACTAGACAATTACGACCAGGAATAACACTGATGATAAACCAGAAAGTGAGTGAGTATAAGTGAGCTACAAACTTACACTACATGTATAAGTATAATGCATTGTACTCCAATAAACTCACCATGTAGTCCAGCTGGATGAAAGGGTCGTTAATGGCGACCACCTCCTGGCCCTTCTCCAGGGCGGAGCGCAGCACCAGGCGGCCGATACGGCCAAACCTACACCGGATCGACAACGGTATCAGTTAGTCTTCACCAGACTTCTTTTGCAGGGTGAGAAATCGGCCTAAAAAGGGTATTAATTGGCCAGAGAAGGTAGCCGGCCAGAGAAGCTCCATGGAGCCCCGCAAAAGAAGTCTGCTGGAGACTAGGTATCAGTAACCACTGACATTTCTGTTTAACAATAGCAGGCAATCAATTACAACTATACTAATGAGCAGGGTGTCCTTCAGCAATATATTTCTTCTATAAACTAAAAAAAAGTGTCATACCAATTGAATAAGCTACCAATGATGCTAGCTATTGTTCTTGAAAAGCTGTTTCGCCCTTCAGCTGTTACGGTTTCATGATACTTGGCTTGTCATTGTCTGACCTTCAAAATTTCAAAAGGTCAGATGGGTAGGCTTAAGTTTCAGTTTTGGTGCTGTCACAAATAGATCTAGCAGTAGCAATACTGTTATCAAAGGTTACTGGGCTAGATATTTTTGGTCAGTGTGCCTTGCAACACCACAATTTTATGCATTCTTAAAGTTATTACTAGTTTATGTGGGTGTGGTTAAAAAGACTTCTTGCTAAAGGGAGTTGCCCTTTCTCCATTCTCCTAACAAAATTTTAAAAATCAGAAAAACTAAATTATATTACATAATCATTGTTTTTGTTACTCATACCAGGCAGTCATAGATATCCTGTTCTAATTTCTACCATTTACAAATGTCGACTCAAAATGAAAATGTTTGACGAAAAAGAGTTAAGTACAAAGTTTATGAGCCAAAATCTACTCACCCGTTGATTCCGACCTTAACCATGGCTGAGGTGTCTTAGGGGAGTAGTGACCAAGGAGAGAGAGAGCAGGACCTGAGAACACAATGTGAAATGTTACTGGGAATGTTGGTACAACCAGCTGAACATACATGTACCAGACCCAGCAATCACTGAATGTCCCAAGCAGTTTTGTGCTCAGCTCTGGTAGACTTACTGTACATGTATGGCGTGACAACAATAAATTCTATATATAAGTCACCCAAATTTCTGCACGTGAAAAGATACCCTGTACTGCCCTTTTACACACTCTTCACGTACACCAGCTGCTGTAAGACTGGTTTTACATGTAGGCTAATGACCTCCTATTACCCTTCAGGGCTGCACACGTCTGATCGGTCAGTTATAAATAATGTAGGACACTGTGTCCTTGAATTGTCTGGTGCTTTGGGCAGCCAAACAGGAGCATATGTCCAACACAGAGGGATCAAATTTTCAATGACCACTGTCGTCAGCATCAGGATTAGTGATGCATACCAGTTCACTGGACTTGGATCCGGACTTGTAAGAATGTTTAGGTTCAAGTCCAAAAAAACCTAAAAGTCAAGAACCGAGTCCGGACTTATTACCATAAAAGACCATTTCACATACCCCTTTTCTTTCCAAACCACCTAAAACCCTCCGTAGATTGCAAAATTTTTGCTGCAAAATGAAGAAAACATTGCCATCGGGCATCGTCAAGTACCGGCCTTCATGTTATGTGGCCAAAGTTTCACCCAGACAACATTGCAAGGTTGCCAACAACCCGGTTTAGGTTCAGGTCCGGACTTACAAGTCCGGAACTGAACCTAAACCTCTGGACTTGAATCCGGACCTGAACCTAAAATTGGGTTTAGGTATGCATCACTAATCAGGATAATGCATTGATGACTGATGACTTCCAATGAAACTGTAGAATGTTATGCCACATGCCTTGTTGAAGAAGACAAGTAGCCACTTTGACCCAAGACATTTGAAAGGTTACCTCTTAATAACAAAGACAGAAACAACTTCACAGACACGCCCGACAATAACCAACTGAAGCGCCTTCAGAAACTGTATTTTTTATCACCATAATTTGTCTTCTGTCACATGCCATTTATCTATAGCAATATTCACTATTGTCTACATGTAACAATAAACTTCTTCCTTCATTAGTACAAAGTACAAGGTTTCACTGGTGAAGGTCAATTTGACATCAAACCCAAATATTTTCAGTGTATTATACAGTCGGTCAAAACCGCATCCATAATTTCAGTTATTCTAGAGTAATTTGAGACAACTATTACATAATTTGCCTTTCATGTAAGCCTTTATGATCATGAGAAGTCATTGATCAACTTTGCCAGGGACCCATGCAGCAGTGCAATTAAATACTCCAGATAGTGTGGATACTACTACATTGTATTATTAAATACTTAGTACTTCATAGACTCTTGATTGAACTATATGAGCTGCCATTTTCTATGATTACATTTTCCCGATGTTGCCGGGTTCTTTGTGCTAGCCATAAACTTGGCGCTGTGGCTGTGCACACGTGATCATGTTATACGTGCACGAGTGCACGGAACTATTTCAGCTATGTCATGCCGGCTTTCTATCCACATCCACACGTGGACACACCACCAATCATACAAATATGACGCAAATATGACAGATCCCAGTCTCAAGAAGGGTTTCGTGTGGGACAATGACTTTGCTGATGTCAAAAATCATACACAGATGCACGAGAAAAGGGATAAAGTATCACACAAGACCAGGGAAGCCATTTATGCAAATGAGGGGCAGAGCCCTACGCCGGTGCCGGGTGACCTTCCCACAGTAGGCCGGCTCTTTTCCAGCCTTTAAATAGCGATACAGGACAAGACAACGTCTTCTGTTCCTCAAGATAAGACTTATCGTCAAGATTTTGAAGATGTCAAGTCACAGGGATCTTTAAATCGCCACTTTGCAACCCAAAAATCAGGACAGGCAAACACACGTCTTACCTTTCCACCTTGTCAGCGAGGAAGAGCGCATGCGTGGTCAGAATCCATCACGTGGCTTATGCTTACTAGTTTTATAAAATAAAAAGATTTTTATCATAAAATCATCGACTTTACTTCAAAATATTGAAAATTTGTTTATAATCCATTAGAGAATATTTTGCGCATCAGAGAAAACTTATCAACGCTTGCAACCTTTGACCTTATTAAATCCCACGCTTGGTCGTACCCAGGGCAGTTACTGACGGAAGCGTCCTGGGTTCGAGATCGCAAGCAACTTTTTGCAACGTTTGCAAGGCGGAAGTTGATTCCAACAGGTATTTTTCGGTTCAACGACAACGTTATAGTTTTTCTGCTTCAGAATACCTAAATCACATCAGCATTTTGCTTCTCTGTTCACCAGGTATCTTCGTTCGTTTGCTTTTTTTTAGCCCGGAAACTTTAATCCCTGCAAACGGAACAAAATCTGTTGCTTGACAGACTCGTTTTGCAAGTTTTTAATGCAAAAACCAGGTCACTCGTGACGCCAGAAAGGATAACGCCTGCTTTAGGCGAGTTTGTCTAGTAAGATGGCGATGTTGCATTATACATTTCTCGTGACATTTGTCTTTTTGGCATCAGCTTCTGTAACCCCTGTCCTCTACATACATCTCCAAGCAGATGTAACGTGTTACATGTACATGTAAGACGGCAGAAACATTACGGTTAGGATCGGACTGGCCATCTTGATTAGCTATTATATATTGTAAATTGATAAATGTCTGGCAAATGGATACTGCATGGAAAATTTTATACTATTCATTGCAGCCACTACTCATTGCAGCCACTGAAAGGTCTGCGGTTATCCTGAATCTAACATTACACCAGAAAGGTTTACTAAAATGTTGAATTGGGTGTTCAGAAGTTTCTGACTTGCAATGAGTTTTTGCTATGTAATAATATCCTTGGTTATTCAATGTTCAAGATTTAATTTATTATCTTCTTTTATAATTAACATGTTTCAGGTTAGAATGAAGGATTAATGTAATACAAAAGAGACAAAGTTGGGAAATTCACAATGGAGCTAGAGCTACAGACCACTGCTGGTGACATTCATGTGACCCCTGCTGTAATCATCCCACGACTTCCCTTCTGGATCAAGGTCACAACCTTGACCTCGTGTGCCCTCTCCATCCTGGGGTCAGCTTTGATCATCGTGACCTTCTTCGCATGGAAGGACATCCGCACCACTTCCCGCCGCCTTCTCGTCTTTCTCTCCCTCACAGACTTCTGGACAGCCATCGCGCTTTTCTACGGCGTGTACACCGATTTTGTGGACAGCTCGGTTGACTGTATTGCACAAAGCATTGTCAGCACCTTCATGGGCACCAGCTCATTCTTCTGGACCGTTTCCATAGCGATCTATTTGTACATAACCATCGTGAAGACTGACACTCAGCTGGCAGGAAGCCTGACCAAGTATTTCCATGTGGTGAGTTGGGGTGTCCCCCTAGCGGTGGTCGCATGTGCTGCAGGGCTGCAGAAGTTAGGATATGACAGGTCAGAGGTGTCAGTTGGCTGGTGCTGGGTGAAGCTGACCACACCCGACATTGCTGACAACCTGCTATGGATGCTGCTGACAGGAAAACTGTGGGAAATCCTGGCTTACTTCATCCTCCCTGCACTGTATATTGCCATGAAGAGGCATATCTATGCACAGGTAAGGATGTAATCGATTACATGTATAAAAGTTGTAACGTTACATACAATGCACAGCTGAATCAAGCCTGCATACATGTTGCACAGGTAAAACAGTTGAGACATGAAGTACATACAACCGAAACATGCCAAAATGCAGTTGAGACATCTGATAATAGTTTGGTACTTATTAGCCATATCTGGATTATTACTAGTTCTAGCTACAGGTACAAGTTTATGAAAAAGCATTTTCTGAAATACATGGTTTATCCGATATTTTATCATAACTACTCGTCATTGCAAAGTTAGAAGTCAGACTGTTTTGATATTAAAAGTTGAATCCCATCAAGGACTTCCACCACTTGAACCTACGCATAATGTCCGCCCACAGGATAGAGGCAACTGGTGGGCTACCATCAAGCCGAAGTATTGCTGTGCAAGCATGTCTAACCCTTGGAATAAACCAAATAGCGAGTGTAAGTGAGTGATGTTTCAACACCCCAAGTAATTTGCTGTTCTCCCCCTAGGGTCGCGCACAGGACTGCTACCGTTTCCAGCGCAGCGCGGTGGCCGCCATGGTGAAGGTGGACCGTAAGCTGACGTTCATCCCGCTGGTGTTCGTGCTGCTCCGGCTGTGGAGCACGGTACGCTTCGTCCTGACGTTGACGGGCTCTTCTGCCGTCAACAACCCTGTGCTGCTCGTTCTACATGTGAGTTGCTTTGTTTATTTTATTAATGAATGTCTATCAGAACAACTGTTGTTATGTCATAGTCTTCTTGCAGGTTTTTGATGATCACTAGATGCACATTGTAAGCCTGAGCACACATACCCAATGGTCAATGTTTTCTATTCCTGTTCAACTCGAAGAGTTTGCAAACATAACAAATGGCCATATTATATCAGTAACAAGCCACAATTTTCAATGCATATAACATTTTTCTCACACCTTATTCAATATCTTTCATCTAAAACTGCATTTATTGTATTTAACAGTGTAGTATTATTAATCATAAGGTACAGTGTAACAGTGGTATCATATAAAAACTTTGCTCATAATTCTATGTTTTGTTTACTCCAGGGCATTGGAAACACCTTTCAGGGTGGGGCCAACTGTATCCTGTTCTGCCTCTGCACAGAGAAGATTCGAAACAAGCTGCTACCCAGAATGCCATGTGGATCTTGCAGTTCCTGCTGCAGCTGCCAGGGGGCTGCTTGCTGCTCTTTCCTGAGGCTGAAGCTGCAGGGACCCAAATATGTCCTTCAGATAGAGGCCAATGGATGTGTGGACAGAGAGGATGAGCCACTTCTCTCTGAGAACCTCTAGTTTCTGAAAGCCATGTGTGTGCATCTAAAAGGATGCCTATGTACTCTCCAAGCAGAGGTTTGGGTTTGGGGTTATTTTTGGCATGTTTTTAGGCTTTTTTTATCATGGTTTCTCTTTTGCACTGGAATTTTTTTTCACCCCCCAAAAAATTCCAGTGCAAAAGAGAAAACCTGATAAAAAACCTAAAAACACGCCCAAACCTCTGCTTGGACAGTAGTTTATGTACTAACTCAGGGATTACTACCTGTAGGTTAAGGAAGCCATCTGTTAGTTATTGATAGCCATTTGTTCTTGAGTGGTGTTATTGTTAATTGGAATATGTAGCTGATGTTGCATTAGAAAGGGGGAATGAATGTATGATATTAGTTTGGATTTTTCGGGATAACTCTCATAGCAAGGATTAAATCTTAAAGTGTCATAATTGTAAATGATGCTAGAAAAAAGAAGGTTCAGTATTAAACTAGTAGTACATGTAGTAGTGTTTTAGATCATGCTATTAACAGAGAAAATACCAGAAAAGTATAGTTATGCATTCTTGCTCTTTATTTGGTGAATATGATGTTGATAGTGTATAACCAAACCAGGGTTAAAAGGATGAAGGAAATATAGAATGTTGTTATTGTCATCCCAACTATGGTAATGACAAGTCATTGGCATATGGATCATAGAATGATGTTTAGTATTACATGTACCAGGTTTAGGCAGTATTATTTTATACCAGTTTGTGTCATTTTCTACAACTAGAGACTGTATCATAGTTGTGTCAACTTTCCTGAAAAAGTACAACGTACAAAATAAATCTGGGAGCACTTTAAACTTGTCCTAATAAAGATATTATACTCTTGATATGGTTAGATTGGTATATTTTACTGATATTTATATATTTAACCCTCTAGGAATACATTACATACATTTTCAATAACTTCAACTAAATTTATACATTTCTACCCATGGGGTATTGTCCATAGCTGTCAAGAAAGCCACTTTCCATTCTTGCAGCTAAGATTCTTGTTAAATTAAAACTAACAGAACGGCCATTTGGCCAATGAAGAAAAATTAACTTGAACATGATTATATTATGAAGAGGGAAGATAATGTAACAAATATGGTCACCATCTAGTAATGCTAAACATAAAGGGCTTACATGAAGTTGGAAAGGAAAACAGTTTCAGCTCTTTTTGTGTCCCATTTTAGGAGCATAGCTTCAAACCTTTCTTATTAGCCCGGTAAGTGCACGTGACGGAAGTGCTGCTGATAACTTTTCAAGTTCTTGTTCAGTCAAATAGTTGACATTGTTACTCGTAACAACAACAAATTAACCACATCCTACGTTTTCCAGAAGTATTCAGAATTTTTCAACAAGGTAAATGAAAGAAACATTCCATATTCCATCCATATGGCATTGCCTAATCTTTGCAATAGATCAATCTCATAACCTTCCCTACCTCCATCAACATATAGAAATGCACAACAAGATTGGAGATAGACCAATTGCTAGCCAGACTAAATCGAACTCCTGTCGGCCACCCGCCCAAAGGTTGCCATTGCTCTTGGAAGATGACTCTGCATTATTCTAAAGTGAACAACATGATCTGCCTAAACAATATTGTATGTCCACACGAACAAAGTATCTCCCCCAGTGAACAACGCAAGAATATGAAGAACCCATTGTAAACTGATCAGTCCTCCAGGCTCTCTATGTTGATGGACAGGTCCAGTAGTGCACAGGCTATGCTGATCAACTCACAGGGATCCCTTTCCTGCCATAGTTTAGGCTAGAAAATAAAGGATTGTATACAAATAAACTAAGAATTGGGTTAACTTTAGACAAGGGAGTTTAAAGCAGTTAATCATTGTATGATGACTAATTGCTTGAATTTACATGTACCTCAGAAATGAATTGTGTTAACACAAAATGTTATAAAAATATATTTGCATGCAACAGCCAGACTAGAGGATGCTCTGTTTAGAAATTAAATAGTTAACTCACCAGATTGGCTGTCACAGTGTCCACATCCACAGCAGGAGAGATACATGTGTCTGTAGCACAAGGGTCAGCACCAAGGACAGCACCAGGGATAGCACTAAGAACAGCACCAGGGACAGCATCGGGGACAGCAGTAGGAATGCCTATGTCTTCAGCACCATGGACAGCACCATGGGCAGCACCAGGGACAGCAATAGGAATACCTGTGTCTGTAGCACCATGGACAGCAACTGGGATAGCACCAAAACTATTGTACGTCAGAAAGGTTGTTGGAGGGGAGGCCACAGTCTGCAACTCAGTGTACATGAGGCAGTCCCCAGGTGCTGTTGTCACATGTGCAGGGCTTGTGTCCCAAGGTTCTGCCAGGTGCACATGATCTAAGTCCCCAGTTGGTATCAGGTGCAGAGGGTTGGAGTCTCCAGGTATTACCAGGTGTAGAGGGTAGGAATCAATAGGCGTTACCAGCTCTGCAGAATTATAGACACAATCCATACAATGTACAGAATAGAAGCCTTTTGTAGGGAAGCTGGTGTAGGGACAAGCAAAGTGTTCCCCACCTGTGATGTGTAGGGATGCTGGTCTCAGGTTTGCTGAGAGGCAGGTCTGTGAGCAGACAGCACACTGTTGGGCACAGTGCTGCAGGTTAGAGTTATCATCCAGGCATGGCAAGAACTGTTCCTTGAAGCAGCTTGCCTTTTCTGTCCCCTCTACATGTTTCTGCTCTTCCATGTGGGGAGAACACTTGTGTACTGGTGTGATGGTGTCTTCTGCACACATGATGCAGTATAACTTGGTATCTCCATCACCTTGATGACATCTGTCTTGTGTTGTGGACTTTTTGTGAGAAGCGAGAGTTGAACATTCAGGAAAACCTTCACTGTGTTTGACAGATGAGACACTTTCATTGCAAGGGGAGACATTTTCACAGATAGAACCGTACCCAAAACCAAGGGAGGAGTGATATGTGCTCTTCTCCCTCTTCTTCTTCTCCACTATCTTTTTATTTGCTTTCTGAACTCTTCCAGAAACACCACAACCTTTAGAGCACTGTTTCCCATCAGGAGACCTCGGGGACCTCTTCAGGGAGGGGATGTCAACATCTGACCAAGGGGACCTGGCCCAGCTCGTGTCCTGGTGGTGATGCAGTCGTCGTCGGTTATTCTGGAACCAGGTACTAACCTAGGTGGTACAGGGAAGACAACCAACCAATGATGAAGGAAGAAGTAAAACAAAACCAATCAGATCCTTGTAATCATGTATAAAGGTGTAGGAAAACAACCAATCAGATCAAGGTCATGGCCAGATGTTCTTAATGCTTTAGTTGGCTCAGGTTGCCCACCTAACCAAAGTCAGGAGCTGAGTGATTTGGGCAATTGGCCACCAGGTTGTACCCCAGTACTCCGATCAATAAGTTATGGCTCCTTGTATAATTTTAAGGTGCTATTTTTTTTTGGTGGAATACATACCAAATAACATACTGTGCCATTAGTGCATAACCAGCAAATAGTGTTATAAACTCAAGTTTCATGTGACAAACTTGATGTACCCTCACCTGTTTAAAAGTCAGGCCAGTGAGTTCAGCCAAGTCATATTTCTCTACCCGTGAGGGGTAGGGGTGGTCCTGGTGATCTAGAAGCCAAGACTGCAGCTTTGTCTTGGCTTCTCTGGGCAGAGAAAGGGTCTTCCGGCCATGAGGGGCAATGGAGAGTGGAGGGGGAAACCTGCAGGTGGGGGTGGCACAAGGTAAGAACACATCACAGAATAAAGGATTTTAAGCTAGGAAGGGAAAATTGACAGCTGACGATCTTAAAGCTCCGACATTCACCGGTTTTGACGTTTAATGGTTTTGGTTTTAAACTATGTTGTTAGGATAATCCAAAAGGAAAGGTTAGAAAGGCAGGACAAGTCACTGCAATGACAATGAAGAGGGGGCACCTCCTGGGACACAGTAATTTGGTGACCACCTAATTAAGATCAATTAAACGAAGGCAGTAATGCTATCCTAGTATTGCTCTATACATCAGGATGAAAACTAACCTTTTCCTGAGCCTGAATTTGCCCACAGGAGTTAGTAGTTTTCCTGTTCTTCTCTCCATCTGCCTGTAGTGGGCCTCATCCCATAGCTGCACTAGGTCTGCACTGGGGCCAAATGGAAAGTGCTATGGGACAACAGAGAATGATCATTAACAAAGGCAATGTTACTACCGAGCCACTACATGTTCGTAAGTCTAACCTGGTCTTTCTTTGCCAACAATTTTGAACTTATTGTTACATGAACATAGATGTATTATGATTCACATTGTGAAGTGTTATAATTTCCGAACTTATTTCTGATTATTGACAAGTTTTTTAACAGTCTTAAGACTTATGACTGTACTGGAACAAAAAAAAGAAATTTTCAAATATTAGTAGTTTACAAATATATGGGTTGGAGCAAAAACATGAAAGAAAGCACTCTATTTCAAATACCAAGTGAAACGTTTACAATTACAGTTAGGTTGACCTTTGTTGGCAGTGTGGCTTATTCGAAAAAAGTTTTGTGTATTATTCTTTTAAATTACTATAGTTCTCACCTGAAGGAGTTGGAACACTTTTTCGAACTGTCCGCTCCGCAGATTTTCTGTGATCTGAGCCCGATACACCCAGGGGTTGGACCTGTACAGGTGCAGCTGATCACCGAGGAGGCCCAGGAAATCCTTCAGGCCTGTATGCCTCTGGCCCCGCAGGAGGAGGGCACACAGGTCCCCGGCAAGCGCCAGGGAAGCCGCCGATGGTCTCGGGATTTCCCCGAGACTACAGGCCTCCTCCCAGGCCAGCATGTAGTCGTTCAGTACCTTGTCTTGCTCGGGGGAGCTTGCCATTTGTTTTAAAACAAGCACCGCTTTTCAAGACCCTTTTTGGCGGGAAAGAACAAGAATTGCTGCGATGACTTTTTACTTCATTTTCTTCCCAGAAATTACGTATTCAGAGATCCCTATTAAAGGATGACAGTATCGTTTTTACATCGTATGTGAGCTCAACATATCAAGAAATCGTAATTTTGGGCACATTCCATTTAGGCAGTTTCTTTACAGTTACCAACAGCAACTAGGAGTACATGTAGGCCTAACTTGAAACTTGGCAGACAACGGGACTAGACTATAGTTTAATGTGCCGCTACTACCAATTCACAATATGAAATGATATTACCTGGCCTTGGTACCCCTTGGAGTCTTCTAGACATCGACAAAACACGGACAGAAACTAAACATCGTCTGACTTCCGGTCAAGAATTCCCGCGTTTGAGTAACTTTGGGATGAGTGATACTTTTCAGGGCAATGTTTCAAGTGGCATTAGGGGTAAATGTTGAACTTCCCTTCTTGCAGGAGTTAGTTTTCCAACATTTAATATCTTAAACATAGAACAAATCCGTGGTCTTCAAGTACCTAATCAAATCATAAAATTAGGTATGATAACATTGATTACGAAAACAATCTGCGGGAATTGGGTTTATAATTACTTGTCAGCGCCCCCTGTGAGAATTGTGTGGTATGGCATGGAGCAATGAGACTAGGTCCTTAGCTGATCTCTGCTGACACTGAACGTTGTTTGGCTCCTTCAGACCACCTCAATTTGAATATTCCACGGAATTTTTCATACTTACCTATCACAAACTTTTCTATCATGAGCTAGGTTTCGTACAACACATCTATATGACTGTCTTTAAGTTAACAATGTCCTGATTTTGTTATCTAAAAATCTGTCAACCTACTCTATCAGGACAAATGTACGAACAAACCTACTGACAAACCCATGCAAAACATTATGTCCGTAGTACTACCTAAAGTAACTAGCTTCAAATTCCTGGTTGGAATACACATGTGCAGCATTTATTAATCATTTTATTTACAGCCAGGAAAACAGATATTTGTAGGGTACAGTCTTATCATACAGATTACCAATGACTTATAAATACACCAACTGACACTTCTCTTCAAAAATTAAATAGTCCTAACAACACTACAGTTAAATGCATCAAGGAAAGCCTGCAATAGAATAGTTTTGAAGAAGATATTCCTAACTGCAGTTGTACTATACATGCACTGTCATCATGGGGTATCATACATATTAAAGATATGGAATATATTTATTACAATGATTACTATTCTTTCCTAATATCTCAACACTATGCTACACTTCAGAGAGATTTTCCATGTACTTTGACAAAGAGTTTTATGTGTCACTATCACTCTAAACAACTAGACTCCATTCCAAAGGCTAGGTGACTCCAGTTTAATATTATTGACTTTTGGTCTACATTGCACAGCAAAATCTGTAAGTGTAAGACTCTTTCTGTCATTGAGTGTTATTCAGGGAGACAATTTGTGAAAGAGTTCTCAAGAATTATGATGTTCACAAGTTTCCACTGCGTTCTTCCCTCTCGCAAGAGTTGCTTGTCTTCAGTCACACCAGCCCCAAAGGATGCTGGGATTACTGGGGTGACATCATTCATGGTGTGGGCCACACCAAAAGCACACTGCTGAGAGGGGGGGCAGCCTGATGTAGCAGAAGATGGTATGGTGCTGTGTGGACTGCCCTCGGCCTACTGCAACACATGCAGTAGGCATTTACCTGTGGGCAAAAAAACAAAGACTGTAGTGTAGATTCCCATAGTATAACAGTAGTTAGTCATGCTTTATAACATGTCATCATTGGTCAGACTCATGGTTAGTTCAAGAAACTTTGGATCAGAACAGACAAAACAGATATTTTACATAAAACTTTTTTGGTGTAATCAAAGATACGATCAAAGAAAGGACATTATCTGGATATCTACAAATTCTCCATCAAAAAATATACTCCAAATATTGCAGAATCAAAACTACAAGAATATTAACCTTTTTGATATTCCTTATCTATGCCTGAAATTGGGAAGAATTGTTGTAGCTGAAGACTGAAGCAAGGGACAAATTGACAAATAGATCATCATACCTTCCTCATCCACCCCCTGCCATGGGAGGGGGGCCGGGTGCTCCCCCACGACGGACTCCCCCAAATCTCCTCCTGGGGGGTGGAGGTGGTGGCCTGTAGGACATTGGAATAGGAAATTACAAAATGCACATCATGTTAGCTGACCAGTGAAAGGGCAGCTAGAAGTAGAACTTAAAAGTGGCTATCTTGGCAGGTACTAGAAAGTGAAAACTTACCCTCTCCCGTCTCCCCTAGAGTAGCTGGAGGCAGTGTCACTTCCATGTTTTGACAGGCTTGGCTAGAAAAGACAAAATGTATGTTCACTAGACTTTCAGCTACTAGTAATATGTCCTGTTTACACAAATAGTTTCATGCATAATCAATCAAAGTCAATACATTGATGTCACACTGTTTGTGAGTGCCAATTAGTCCTTTTTATAATCTATATAAACCAATCTTCAAAGTCTTATATTATAAATTATGTTAGGAATATCGTAGTATTAGTATACATACTTACATTGTACATTGTCTGGAAACTGGAAGAGAAAAAAGATACATTGTATTTTTAGTACATGTACAAGTTGATATGTTGGGAATCATTTATTTATCAATTAACAAATGGATGTTATTTGGGGTACAATAAACACACAGAGTGAAACTGCACATACTCATAAATACAAACTGAACTGTATTTGAAAAATGTATGAAATGACTTACAACAGTACGATAAAGTTGATGATGCCCCAGAAGATTTCTGGGATGATGGACAGTCGCCATGGAGACCTGCTGTCCAGCATCTGACCTGCGAATTTGCATATTACGTCAATCATTGTTAGTCAGAGCTACAACCAGGATGTTATAGGAGCATGTTTGTACAGGACAGAAACAACTAAATGAGTTTTTTTTGACATAACTGTTACGTTAGGAAAAATAGCCCTGAACAAATCCTCGTGATTTTTAGTTAACCTGGAGGATAAAACAGTCGGCTTTTCTATCGTAACTGTAACAGGACGTAGACATTGTATAATTTTGTGTAGCAGAAATATATTATTTAAATTTTGGGGGAATACGACAAAAAATTTAAACACATTTATGTCGCATTAATACATTTGAAAAACCCGTTTCATTGGTGGCTACAAAGCAATATACAACGAGAAGGAAGGACTCAACTCCTAAAATACGGTTGAGACAAATTGCAAAACATCAAGGAAGGCTGCAGATGAATGTGCAGATATTTTATATGTGCGTGTTGCCCCCCTCCCTAGGCCTAGCCGGCTACTACTAGTATATAGCCTCAACAACAGATTATGCGCCGTCAAATGGATTACAGACTTTCGTACGAAACAAATTCTTAACGTCTTTGCCAGATTCGTTGCCTAATCACCACATTTCGGTGTGTTCTCACAAGGAAATGTACAGAAGTTGCAACTCACCACCAGTGACGTACGCCATCTTGAACGGGAATGATGACGTGTGCTTCTAAACGAGGTATGGCTTGGTCTAGAATATGGTGGGACGGCCACGAAAGACGGCCACGCCGCTATTGGTCAATTTCTCAGCAAGCTACAAAGCCTCCACGCTGCTATTGGTCGGGGTACCAGCTGCTGCAGTGAGGGATAGCTAGCGGTGGGGAGGGCTGCCGGAACAGGTGTTCTGAAATATATGGTCCGGCTGAAATAATCGGTCCGGGTACCATATATGGAGCGTGGGAACAGGAAGTGGGCGTGGCTCTAAAAGTACGAAGGCCCACAGGATCAAAAGCTTATCACTACACGCTGCGACACGTTATTTTTATACAACACACGATTAGCTTGACTTTTACTAACTTCAAGAGGGAAGATTAGTATTACAGTTTCTGATCTGTCTTATATATGTCTTATTGTTCTTTCCTTGATCTGTAAATTTTTCAGAACGCCTGAAATAAACGGTCCGCCCTCCTGAAAATCGCAATGTTGCCCTATAATATCTTATGAAACTTTTTTTTTCTACTATATCATGGTCGAGATAAACATGTCTCGTGTAACCAGCGTCGTTATTCTTGACATTGACCCCTAATCTCTTGGATACTAGGGGCGGACCGATTATTTCAGCCGGACCAATTATTTCAGAACGCCTGAAATAAACGGTCCGCCCTCCTGAAAATCGCAATATTGCCCTATAATATCTTTTGAAACTGCTTGTTCTACTATATCATGGTCGAGGTAAACTTGTATCGTGTAACCAACGTCGTTGGTCTCAACATTGACCCCTAATCTCTTAGATACTAGGGCGGACCGTTTATTTCAGGCGTTCTGAAATAATTGGTCCGGCTGAAATAAACGGTCCCCCCCTAGTATCCAAGAGATTAGGGGTCAATGTCAAGAACAACGACGTTGATTGTACGAGACAAGTTTACCTCGTCCATGATATAGTAGAAAAAACAGTTTCATAAGATATTATACGGCAATATTGCGATTTTCAGGAGGGCGGACCGTTTATTTCAGGCGTTCTGAAATAATTGGTCCGGCTGAAATAATCGGTCCGCCCCTAGTATCCAAGAGATTAGGGGTCAATGTCAAGAACAAAGACGTTGATTGTACGAGACAAGTTTACCTCGGCCATGATATAGTAGAAAAAACAGTTTCATAAGATATTATACGGCAACATTGCGATTTTCAGGAGGGCGGACCGTTTATTTCAGGCGTTCTGAAATAATTGGTCCGGCTGAAATAATCGGTCCGCCCCTAGTATCCAAGAGATTAGGGGTCAATGTCAAGAATAACGACGCTGGTTACACGAGACATGTTTATCTCGACCATGATATAGTAGAGAAAAAAAGTTTCATAAGATATAGCAATATTGCGATTTTCAGGAGGGCGGACCGTTTATTTCAGGCGTTCTGAAGAAGTTTTATAAGATAGGGCAACAGAAGGGCGGACCAATTATGTCAGGCTTAATCATTTAATCGTTTCTTGTTCAGATTTGGAAAAAGTGGGAACAGTCTGCCACATCTAGAATTGTTTTAGAACTGTTTTAATTTTAGCGGACCAAAGAGCTCGAGGGTCATTGCAGAGACTTACTGTTTTGTAAGCTTAGAAATCAGAGGGGGTTAACATTCTAGTTGTAAAGGAATAGTCTCTTTCATGCTTACGCTACGGTTTTTATAAGTTAACAAACAAGTTATGATGTGCGATATTGTACAATCTTACGTTAATGCTTACTTTACAGAACCCTGTTTATCGTTACATGTACTGAACTGCGTTACAATCGCGCGATCGCCTTGATTGGGATATGTGCGTGTGGGCCTTCGTACATTTTAGGCCACGCCCCGGACCGATTATTTCAGCCGGACCATATATTTCAGAACACCTGTTCCGGCAGCCCTCCCCACCGCTAGCTATCCCTCACTGCAGCAGCTGGTACCCCGACCAATAGCAGCGTGGAGGCTTTGTAGCTTGCTGAGAAATTGACCAATAGCGGCGTGGCCGTCTTTCGTGGCCGTCCCACCATATTCTAGACCAAGCCATACCTCTCTAAACAGCGTTTGTTGTCCGTGCAGAAGCGTCCTCTATCAACATTAGCGCGAGCTGCAAGCTACTTTTTGGCGACACCTCAGGGGCCGAGTGTAAGAGTTGGGGAAGGATACGAGTTGGGTAGGGGGAAGAGTTGGGGAAGGGTACGAGATTTGTCTTCTTGTAACTGAAGAATAAAAGATCATTATAATTAGGACCTTATATTTAACGTCATGACTAATATGCAAATTTCATCATATCACTCCAGGAAGAACGGATGCCTTCTCCTATATGCTTAATGTGTATGGAAAGTGATATATATCATCATGACATTCTTAGTTTGGGGGGTCAAATCCTGCCCGGGTATATGGTACCCCTAACCATTCTTTATTATAACGTATTAACTTATAGATATATATGGTACCCCACCATTCTTTATCATAACGTATTATATAAATATAAGAACATCATAGATAAGAATGGATGTACGAACTCAATATTCAAACCAATAGAATTCATTTTATTTTCACCTATAAAGCAGATTCCACCACCTGCCTATACAAAATACACAAGAAACTTCCGACACTATGCCTCATATGATCTCATATACTCTGGGTTACTATATTTATTGCTATGAAAATAAGCACACTCTGTGTATTTCATGATACATAATACATTTTTTTGTAAACAGGTACCAATCAGTGATATTTCCATGGTAAGGCCATTTTAATTCATCAATCTCTAAAGTTACGTACATCCTATGTTATCGATCACTCTAAGATTTCTCAGTAAATGGAATATGCATATATGGCAGTTCTGATTAATCATAAATTCTCTTCAACATCAAAAAAGTAAGAAAATACAAGGAATAGAAGATATACACATACCAAGATTTCAAACTATTTACATCTGGCAGTTACTGAAATTTAACTTGTTACGTGTTTGCACCACTACCCATCATGCACAGGTACAGTAGTTGTTGTGTATGTCGATTCAGTTTTGACAGACATTTGGACAACTTCTTTGCATAGAGAAGAAGACGTACCATATAGAGGTACTATTGCAGCATATACCGCAAGTACAATGTACATCAAATTGTATTTACAAAATCTCAGTTCACAAACCATAGCAAACGGTGGTTAAGTGAGGTGAACAAAACTTGACAGTAAAGTTTTATCATAAGAAAATTCTCCAGTTTACATGAATTCCTTTTATAAGGCATTTCTAATGTTTTTTCTTTCTCCACCAAAAATGATATGTCAAGGTAAAAAAAAGTCTGTGTACACAAGGTCTTTGTCTGGCACGTGCACTGAAAGAGCTGTCACTATCGGGCAGCCGGCGAAAAACAAGATTTAGTCAGGCTACTGTTGGGTACAGACGATTAAGTTTTGACAGACGTTCCAACAACTTCTTTGCACAGAGAAGAAGACGTACCATATAGAGGTACTGTTGCAGCATATACAGTAAGTACATCGATATGCACTGTATTTACAACTCGCCCTTATATTACACAATATCTCAGTTCACAAACCACAACAGACGGCGGTTAAGTGACATGATCAAAATTTGGCAGTAAAGTTTTATCATAATAGAATTCTCCAGTTTACATGAAATCCATAATAAAGAGTTTCTAATACGTTTTATTCTCCACCAAAAACGATATGTCAATGTTAGAAGTATGTTACATGTAAATGTTTTCTTTAGGATATGGATACGTGGTATATAGGATCACAGGTAGCTAATCTCATATCCATTCGGGAAAAAGACATTGTCAGACAAATTTGACTCATTTCTTCTGACCAGTGAGTGATATGCAGCGCTTGCTGGCTGAACGTCGTTGTTGTCAAAGTCGATCGACTCATGTTCGGGGATTACGTCAATTTTTCCCAGCCCTCCCCGATGACCGCCGACTCCGTTGCCGACGGTCTCCGACTCTACCCGAATGATGTCGGGCTTGTACGAAGCTGTACTTTCCGAGGAGGACAGGGCTGGCAGCAGGGATGTCTGGGAGTTGCAGGTGCTGCCGGTACCGGTGGTGCATGTGGTGCGGCGGCGGTGGATCGTGCTGGGCACCCGCTTCTTCGGCATCTGGAAGCGGAGCTCCTTCCAGAAGCGGCTGGCGGGGCTGTGCAAGTCCGTGTCGGACCACTTGATGCACTTCACAGCCTTCATGGTGTGGCGGAGGGATTTCCTGCAAGTCGAATGATCATAAATGTTAGACCTGAGAAAAACAGCCTAGTCGGACGTTCCCCAGTCCTCACAGAATCGTTTTCCTACTTAAAGTATAATAAACGGTAAACGAATTACCTAAACCTTAACATCCATTTGCCATGAAGAAACATCACCGACAATGTATTTGGAACTTCTAACAGGCCATTCCTATACAGACCTAGACAATGCATTCAACAGCAGAGCACACCACTCTCGTAAGATTGGGCTATGATTCTAGTCTTTGTCGTGTTCAATTTTGTTTCAAAATGGTGGTAGAAAAACACTATCAGGTTTAAGTTGTTGAAACGCATTAGCCAGACTAAATCTTTAGTTCGATATTAGAAGATCCATATTTTGCAATGATTCACCAATAGCCTACCAACTATCTACGAAAACAGAGCGGAGTTATCTTCAAGCAGATTCCTTCGAAGGGCAGGTGACGATCAAAATTGAACATCCGAGTTGCTTTAAGATAAGAACGGGGCTCACCATTCCCTGAAGTCCTCTATCTCCTGGACAGTCTCGTACTCTATGATGGTGATGCGGCTGTTGCGGGTTAACATGCGCTCCAGCGCCACGGAGAAGCCGAACTGCAGCCACTGGTTCCGCAGGAAGTCCTGAGACAGCACGATCAGGCAGTGCCGCGCCTTCTCCACAAACTCCACCCAGTTCTCAGCGATGTCTGAAGATACAGATAAACACAAACAAGTCAGATGGTTACCGGTACTACCAGGACTAGTATGTGACTCTGAACTATTTCATGCACTTAAACAGTTGATTTTCTGGAAAAATGCTTCAAATGGCAAAAATTTTCCGATCGTACAATATACTTGAAATGTTATATCTGTAGTATTGTTAATGACGTCGATAATATTGAACTTCGTATATACACGTATAATAATATATAAATTTTTATTGATTTTACTGAACTTGATGATTGTCAACTTCGGCGCAATTCAGTTATTGCTGCAAGGCAGATTTGTTCCTTGTTTATCAATAAACCATAAACCTATACGCAATTGAGCATATCCATTATCAATTTGACACGAAAGTCCGCATGCGGCCTATAGAATTTTTTATTTCGTCAAGCTTGACAATTGTAGCGAAAGTGCTATTTTAGACGACATACATGTACCATAAGGAATATAGATCCTCTAAATGCTATGTCTACTTTTGATTGCATGAATATGCCGCATATAAGCACTCTTGGAAACGAAGAAGTTACAAAGAAGACAAAGAATGTAGCAATCTTTAATACCTATTCCAATTTCGAAGTCCAGATCCTCCATGGCGACCACCAGGTTACACGTGTCCTCCAGGAACACCCGTAACGTGTTCAGCACGAACCCCAGCTGGGCCTGGTCGTACAGGATGATGACGTCATGGTCCTTTGTACCTACGTCAGCATAATCAATCAACATCAGTACCTGACAACATTTCTAGAAGAAAAAAATATTTTTATAGTGAAATCATGATCACCGCTCCGCAGTTTCAGAGAATTGACCAAGCTAAGTGGGCACACAGAAGCACTTGAAGCGAGACACGTACAAAGTACCAAAATGTGAATATTTTTATTTTGGTACTTTGTGTCCGCTTTATTTGCAATTGGTCGTTTCTCTGTTCAAAAACAAGTTAAATCTGTCACGTGTGCACGCAGAACCTTAGTTTTTGCATGGGCCAAATTGATCCGCTCTTTCATATATTAAAGGGCGGCTCGAACAAATAAAACACAAACTAACACCCTTTCATGATTGGTACAACATTAATCACAACATTATTTTTGGTCAATTGCCGATGACCCTTACCTAAGTCTGCGAACTTGAGCTTGACCTTGTCGTCCGACCCGCTGGAGTAGCCCACGTACTTGACCTTCGCCAGGTCAGGATCCCGCCAGCGCAGGAAAGGCTCCAGCTCCCCCTGCCGACCCACCTCCAAAGTGCCGTCCATGAAGGTGACCCAGAACCGGCGCCACTCCTTGGGAGACAGGACGTCCTGTGTGGCCACCATCATCAGGAGGTAGCCTTGTTTCCGCACCAGAGATCTGCAGAAAGTATTAAATAAGACAAACAGTTGTGAGCGGGCAGTTGGAAAGACGCCAAGTATACGTAGTTCCTACAACGTCCTTGCAGATTTGTCAGGCAGACATTGCAAAGACCATTTACAGGTGTATTAGATACCATTACAAACTACGCACTTCGCTTTTTGTACTCGAGAGGTCCAAGAACAATACAAGAAGGTTTGATAGTGTGTTTATATATAGCCAACCAAATTTTTCACGCATTTGTGATAGTCTAAAGAGACTGTAATTGTATAAAGACCGTCATGAATGCGTAAAAACTTGAGTTGGCTAGCGGGGTTCATTACTACACTTGCTATGTCATGCAGAGCGAGATAAAAGGGGGTTGAAAACAGGATGACTGAACTCTTGCTTGTGAGGCCACAGGAAATGGTCGACTTGGCTAGGCTCTACGTACACCATAATGACATGTAAATTCAGCACGTACGTACTGTAAACATCCTCCTATTTTTTTTTTTTTTTTTTTTACTTCACCAGGATTCGCAATCTACAAGAGGATTGGCATCCTATCGTGATTTGGCTAATGCTCACGCCAATTTCAGGAAATATTGTGAGATCGTTTCGAAGTGGTGAATGTGAATGTTCTGTTACAAAACATGATTTTATAACGGCACATGTCTGTGTCAAATGTGTTTCACCACTGAGCTTTGTCAAAGCTTCATAGTCGTTGCATTTCCCTTAGTTCAGTCATGGACTACGTACTAAACGAAAATGAAACTCGATAGCTAATCGTTAAAGGGTTTATATAATTAGAAAGACCATGGAGGTAGAGGATCACATGGAAATACATTTGTAACACACTCATAATGACTTGCAATCTACTTCGATATTAGTTATGCTTTCACTTTCGAACAGCATCTTGACATGCGCACCTTGCGTTCCACTCTGCACCAATCACAATCTCGAACATGTCCGGAGTAGACGCCCTCTGATTGGACAGCGCGATGCGGACGTCACGGGAAGCACGGACCTCAAAACTGAAGTGTGTCCCCTGCAGCTGGTCAAGGTCAAACGTGTAGTCTTCTCTGATCGCGTCACATTTTTTGTAATCTGTGAAAATACAACACACAATTATAATAGATAAGAGTTACACCTTTTATTTCATCAGCTAATATGAAGGCTGAAACTAAAATGAAATCGTGACACTTTGAAAGAGAGAGAGTGTGTGTGTGCGTGTGTGTGTGCGTGCGTGTGTGCGTGCGTGTGTGTGTGTGTGTGTGTGTTGTGTTGTGCGTGCGTGTGTGTGTGTGTGTGCGCACGTAAATGTGTACACGTATGTGTGTGTGAGTGTGTCTGTCTGTGTGTGTGTGTGTGTGTGTGTGTGTGTGTGTGTGTGTGTGTGTGTGTGTGTGTGTGTGTAGTTGAATGTCTGTGTCTGTGAATGTCTCTCTCGTTCTCTCTCTCTCCTGTCTCTCTCTTTCACTCTCTCTGTTGAATGTGTGTTTGTTTGTTTGTTTGTTTGTTTGTTTGTTTGTTTTAAACGCCTGATGTGCATATTCACCGTCATCCTCGAACTGCGCGAAGTAGTCCTTCCACAGCAGCTGTATCTCCAGCTGGCAGGTTTTGTACACCAGGACGAGCACAGCCACGAGCACGAGGAACAGCAGCGGACACGTGATGGCAGCTGGGTGGGCGTGGTGGAAGATCCTGTCCTGGATTGTTATGGGAGGGTCTGAAAAAAATCAAGAGCCAAAAACGTGAGGGTGAATAGCATATTTCCTGTTTTATAGGAAACCAAATTTTTTTTATTACTGATTTGATTGTTGCCGAAGCAAACAATATTCCATTGCTCGATGGAACAACAACAGTACTAGTGTTCCTTGAGAGAGAGAGACAGAGACACAGAGAGGGAGAGAGAGAGACAGAGACAGAGAGAGAGAGAGACAGAGACAGACAGAGAGAGAGAGAGAGAGACAGACAGACAGAGACAGAGACAGATAGAGAGACAGAGACAGAGAGACAGAGAGACAGAGACAGAGAGAGACAGAGACAGAGAGACTGAGAGACAGAGAGAGAGAGAGACAGAGACAGAGAGAGACAGAGACAGAGAGAGAGACAGAGAGAGAGAGAGTATACGGTACATCATTCATTGTTCAGTGCCATCAGTATGAGACTCACCTCCGTTCACTAGTGTTGCGTTCTCCTGTGCGTATCCGAATGTTGTGTGCGCAGTGCAGACGTACTCGCCGAAATCCTCCTCAGTCAGGTCGGTTAGCGTCAAGGTGTTGTTCATGCTGTAACTGCCGTCCTTGTTTGCCCTGTAAGAGAAAGTTGTTTGTTTGTTTCTTGTACGTTATTCAAATACTATGGAAGGAAGGAAATGCCAACATGTCCACAGTCTATACTACTTTCGACCAGGTTCACTCATCGAGATCGGTAGTCAATATAAACCTCCAAATTACTTTTGGACACAAGCTTGTTGATCATGACGCTACCCACGTAAGGTCCCAGGGCCTGTTTTGGTCTTGACAAAGGTTGTTGTAGATACGTACCGCGGTCAAGGAATTAAGGATTTCCGTTCTGTTTATATATTGCTCTGGCTAATCTTACGAGAAGGTTTATTCTTAATGTATTGGCTATCTGTATGATGAATTAAAATGATATTAGGTGAGTTTTCTTTTCCGGTGGAAAGTGTTTTAGTAAATGAATGAATGAATGAATGAATGAATGAATGAATGAATGAATGAATGAATGAATGAATGAATGAATGAATGAATGAATGAATGAATGAATGAATGAATGAATGAATGAATGAATGAATGAATGAATGAATGAATGAATGAATGAATGAATGAATGAATGAATGAATGAATGAATGAATGAAGACCTTTATTGTACAAACATACCCACTGGGTTAGGTACAAAGGTTAACTTGAATACACAAATATATACACGACAAGATCAATCTATTACTAGCACTACAGTCTGTTACATAATTTCGACTTCTCTTCGCTTCTCTGTGATGTTGAAAAGATAAGAACATACAAGTTTAAGGATCGGGGGTTTGTCTAAGTTCATTAAAAATGTGAATTTGTCTGTATTACTTAGGTGTGTAAAGTGGGGAAACATCGATGTTAGTACGTAGTACCATATAAGTTTGTCTAATCACCTTGACGTTGTATCCGAACCGTGAACAAAGCTGTTATTCTTTGTCCAGTAAAGTTGCGGGAAGTGTGCGGGTCCTATCACGCCGAAGTTGGCCTGGCAGAGGAAGGTGACGTTGCCGCCAGGGCGTCGGTAGGCAGTCTGTGGGGAGACGGGCTGCATGATGGGCGCAGTCGTGGACTCCGGGTCTGTCAATCAAACAACACCGATTAGTAAACAACAACAACAACAACAAGAAAAATTAAGATGGCCCAGTAATGTTATTTGTGCAGAGTCAGAGCTTGTAAACAAATTCTGCTTTGCGCAGAACTCTCGGCCCTTAAGGTTCAAGCGACGCCTGTAAACATCTGGTTATAAATAAATAGGAAAATGATCAGTACTTGTAAAGCTCATGAAAATAACACTGTTTATATTACATTAAGTAATAGTTCAAGGATGGGCGGGGCGGTGTCTACTATATCCACATAAACGAGCAATCCGCCCATCCTTGAACTGACTTAGAGCACAGCTATCTTCCCGAAGCAAATCATACTTAATTATTGAATATATACATTTTGTACTGTGAAATAAACACAAATTTTGGTGCCAGTGATTTTGTATTTCAAAAACCCTGTCCATCCCACATGTGGTTTTACTTTTGGGGTTCATCTAGTGGTGGCAATTATTATTAATGGCCTTTTGATGATGATGAGACCCAGGCTTTCCAAGAAGACTGGCCCATCTCTAGAGGTGGCCCATCACTTGGCAGACTGGAGCTCTAGAAGACAGTCGAGCCATGTCCTCCTTCAACATGTTTGGGGACCAGTTTTTAGAATATGTCGGGATAGACATCAGCGACTTTGCCACTCAGCCTGATCCTTTTGAGGCTGTTGGTCTGGGGAAGACGGAGCCGGAGGAAATCACAGATGACCTGATGGAGCAGCTGGGCATTGCAGATGAGGTTTTTTCACAACCGGACCCGTTTCTGCAACAGACAGATTTGTCCATTCCATCATCCTCCAACCGATTTGTGCCCCCCATGACCACCTCTGCCATTGAGGAAAAGCGGAAGGCGAGGATACCAGAGAAGACCAAACAGTCCACTCGGTGGGGCAAGGCTGTGTGGGATGACTGGGCGCGAGCTCAGAATTCCTTGCGCACAGTCGGGGACGTGGAGCCTGGGGATAACTACTTTATCATCCCGGTGGACCTCAGCGAAACGTCTCCAGAGGAGATGGGCTTCTGGCTATCGAGATTCGTGTTCGAGATCCGCCGTCAGGATGGCAAGCCGTACCCTCCCAAAACGCTTTATAACATCGTCGCGGCCATCATGCGGCATTTCAGGGAAGACCTGTCACGACACGACATGAACTTTCTCGACAAAAGTGACACGAGATTTGCGGAGTTCCGAAAGGCCTTAGACGCCCGGATGAAGGAGCTGACGGCACAGGGAGTTGGAACCACCAAGCGCCAAGCAGACCCGCTGACACCCGAGGATGAGGACACATTGTGGGCCACCGGGACAGTCTCTACCAAGACAGCAACCGGCCTATCCAATGGTGTATTCCTCTACAACTGTAAGATCTTCGGCCTCCGCGGCATGGATGAACACAGGCACCTACAAGTCGAACAGTATGCGTTCGGCGTCGACCAGACGGGTCGGTACATGAAGTTCACTGGACGCGTGAGCAAAAATGTACAAGGGGGGCTCAACCATCGACAGGTTGACGTCAAGTCCATCAAGCAGTACGCCGATAATACAAACCCCAGGTGTGTGGTCCACCTGTTTGAGTCTTATCTGAATGCCCTCCCGGAAAAACGTGGCAGTTTCTACCGACGGCCCCTCGCCAACAGCAACCCGCCCAGATGTTCCCTTCAAGTCGTCGGCGTCAACAAGTTAAAGACATACATGAAGACCATGTTCGAGAAGGCAGGGATCAACCTTCAGGGCAGAAACATCAGCAACCACAGTGGCAAGGTGACCTGTGCCACGCAGATGTGGGAGGCCGGGTTCGACGAGCAGACTATCATGGGTCGGACGGGCCACAGGTCAAATGCAGTGAGAGCCTACAAGCGTCCCAGTAACACACTTCTGCAGGACGTGAGCAACAAGCTCCAGCCTCCAAAACCACAGCACAAGAAACCAGCTACCAGTACAGTAACAACAGAAGAAAACACCACCACCACTGGAGTTCAGCCCACCATCAACAACTTCAACAACGTGCCTACTACCGTGCCTACCATTCTACCACGCGCCAGCGCTCCACGCCTGTCAATTGAACACCCGAACGGACTAAAAATCACTATGGACTTCTGAGTTACATGTATGTTGTTTGTTTTTACTTATCTAACTTCTTGAATGCTTAGTTTTGTTGTACTGTTTTTCTAATGTTTGTTGTTACTAACTTATAGCCTAGGCTAAACAAGAAACAGTAGCAAGTATTTAAACAAACTGTTTTTCTAAATTTGTATAACCGTTTTCAACTGTATTGCAGTGTATACTGCTGGATGCCCAGTTTTGTTGTAACGTTAGTCTACTGTGTAGCTGAAATTTAATGTCAGTGTAGCGTTGTTTAAATGAATTCGTATCATTGTGGCAAGACACATTGATTTTTATATACAAACATGTATATATATTAACCGTTTTCAACCGTATACTGTTGAATGGCCCAGTTTTGTTCTTATGTTAGTCTACTGTGTTGCTGAAATTTTTGCTCAGCGTAGCTTTGTTTTTTTTTCTACTGTTGTTTTTTCTGATGCATATTTCACATTGTGAATACAAGAATATGCCTGTAAATGATCTTGTGTGGTCTCATTTATGCCTGTTATTGATATCCCTAGGATAAGACTGTGTCTCTTGAAATAACATGCTGAAAGTGGGCGTCTTGAAGTTAGTCTGATTTATTAGGTTGGTTAGAGCACCCCTGTCCCTTGAGAGAGCAAAAAATCTGGCTTTTGATTGGCTGATACATGATTCCTGGTTAGTTAGAGCACCTCTGCCCCAAGGGAGAGAGGTGCTCTAACTCACAAAATGGCCTACTATGTGGATTTCATACCAGCAAAATCCTCGCCCCTGATTGGCTGAGGGTAGATGGCTGTGCTCTAACTGAAATGTGGAGAGGTTACGTAAAGGTCAGATTTGGCTTTCAGTTGCCTTTCCGAAAAGTAAAGTGTGATGAAAAAGTCCACACCTGTAATTGATCATTACGTACTTCGAAAAGATTTGTCTTTAAGTTGCCTTTCGTAAATGGCAAAATATTTTGGCTTTATGCCTCTTTCCGTAGTTCGTTGATAAGTTGGCTTAAAGATATCTCCACCCCTAATGGCATAATGCCTCTTTCCGTAGCTCGTAAAATTGGCTTAAATATTGTTTTTGTGCTGTGAATATTCCACACAGACTTACCTCTGGTGCTGAGCCGGATGGAACCGGTGAAAGTGTGCGTCCCGTTGGTCATCTCGCACGTGTAGTTTCCCGCGTCGTCACGGTACACTTTCCAGAAGGTGAGTTTTTCCCGCTTGTCTCCAGTCTGCTGGATCAGTTCTGTGTTCTTCCACTTGTATCTGACCCCCTCCTTGTACCACGTGGTCGTCTGGAAATCCCAGCATTCTGAGTAAGGACACCTGGTGAATAGAAACAGGAATTTTGTAAATTAATATACTTCTCAGAGAGTGGTATGATTGGAAGATGACATACATTCTATTTGTTGGTATAAGAAGTTGGAAGTTGAGAAAGTATCGGTCCAGAGATCTAGAATTCTAAGTCAGGCGGACCAACAAAACTACCTGAAGACGCAGATGAATTCGAAGAATAGACAAATGACTATAGCGATGTAGCTACAAACGTTCGTAATATTCTTTTTTTTCGTGGTCTCTACATTTTCCCTGCTATTCCCAAACTGTTATTTTGAGGTCTTAATCTTATAACATCTTTCAAAATGCAATATCATGCTTCACTCAATCCATGAACAAAAAAATCTCGACCATCAGGTTTCAAAAAGCATGAGTGGATTGAATTTAGGACAATAACTTTCTTCTTTTTTATTTTTGTGACGATTTTCTCGTTAATGATAATGTACGTACGTGAGGATGGTAAACTCGGTAGTCACGGCACGATCGAAATGAAGGTCTTGCAGGTTGTCCTGCCAGCCGTCACATGGGTCGTAGGGATCGTATCCGGAGGAGTAGTCTGTGAAATGGAAAACAATTTAGTTTAGTGTCGGGACCGAAAGTACCTCACAAGTCGTGAGTTCTGTACGTCTGTGTTAGGCCATGTTGATTTGATTATATGGATGACATCCACGCGCGCATGAAAGTTTTCGACCATACTGTAAATCGTACAAAATAGTTGCAAAATGAGCAAATTTATACCATAAATTGCAACAAAAATATTGGAAAATGATACCAATGTCGTAGAATGCCAAAAAATCCAACGAACAAGACGAAAATGTAAAGAAATGAATTTGAAGACTAGATTATTCGCCATACCATACTCTGCGTCATTTGTTCAATCTTCATAATCACGTAGATTTCATAATGATAGCAACTTTTTTTGCCAAACTTTTTTTATCTGCACGCTCGCATCAGTTTTGTGGTTCCCAGGGGATGTCATCCATATAATCAAATCAACATGGCCTTAGCCTGCGGGGAGACCATTTTACCTCCAATTCGACCTTCACTACATGTTCTTCAGTTTGTGTTTGCATTTTACCTTCACTTCCTGTCACTTTACTGCATAAAATGACGACAAAGCAAAGGCGAACACTCAAAAACATACACGCCTAAAAGAAATTTAAGTTTTACCCACTCACCAGGGTAGTCGTAGTTGTACATGTATTCTGTCGATTGGGGTACAGTAGCCTGAACTGACGGATCGGTTGGAGTAGTCTGAAATGATGGTTCGGTCGGAGTAGCCATATTTGACGGTTCAGCTGTAGGAGGACTTGTTGTACAGGAACTGCTCAGCGCATGAAGTATCAGGATGGCAAGGCACAGCCACATTCTGTTTCCAGTTGGCATCTTGAATACCTGATGAATTAGATAACATTTTAACTCATCGATATCATGCTATCTAAAGAACATTTAAGTCAAGTCAATCTTTATTGCACAACAATTGTAAAGGGTACAATGCATGGCAAACTCTTCAGTACTACATATCTAGATAGCATCTACTCTCACGTCTGCAGTATTACTTACAAGTTCTAATTTTTAAATAGTATAATGTTATTTTCGATACATAGTCTATGTATCGAAAATAACATTATACTATTTAAAAAAAGGTAATATATAGTACATGTATATATATGGAACATGGCTTACATGATAATGTACATGTCTTAAGTTTTATATATGACTGTATATAAACTAGAGTGTACATCAGTTCAAACTCAGACAAATGCCCATTCTGTAACAACAAACAAAACCTAAACCACTTGTTCGTAGATTATTTTTACGTCACTGGTTATAGTTATTGGAATGACTTTTGCTCCCGGTGGCTTGACACCTATTGTCCTAACGAAAAATGGATATAATGTATGGTAAAGTTGACAAGCAGGAAAAGAATAGATACTTGAATCAATGTTTACTACGAGTATATGCAAAATACGCCACTTCAAGAGTGTATAATTGAACAACAAACCTTATTTCTGCCATACACTATTCTGCTAACTGTACATACTGCTCGAGACGAACATTCTTTGTAAGGCCACACCGACTTAATCTTATGGATGACATCGATCCTCTGAAGACCCCCAAACTATTGCGCGCGGGCGAATAATAAATTCCGGCCAAAATAAATATACTAAACCACAGGAATACAAAGCTGGTATTGTGAATTTGCGGCAGTACTTAGCGACGTATACGACATAGTCGGCACATACTGGCTTCTTGCGGAATTTATGAATTGGCACTGAACGTATGTACTGAGTTCTTGAGTCGTGGAGCCTGGGTGCCCGGCTCCGTATTGTCGCTAACTACCATGGACTGGCCCTGAGCCAGGCCAGAGTCTTAAAGGACGTGATATTTTTTTTCAAACAGGCGAAAATCAATAAAATTAAGGCAGTGTGGCCTAACCTGCGAAACTTAGGAACACCTCATGTATGTACGAATTAGGGGGGCTTGCCACAAGGTTTTGTTACAGTCCCATACCATGAAACCAACCATGGTCTTTTTTTTTGTTCGCCGCCGGCAAATTCTCACGCTACCGACAATGGTGTAGTTGTTTTCATGACACCTGTGTCAGGCCAAGGATTTGTTGCTTGCGTGTGTAAAGTCCAAAAGCACGAAGCACAAGAACTGTGATAGCTAGGGGCACATGTCTAATTTTAGAGAAAATGACGTATGGGATCCATATACAAAGAAAAACATTAAGATAAACTGGAAAGGGTACAGAACCAAGCCGCAAGATTCTGCACGAACAACTATGAAAGGGGTGCTAGTGTAACTACTCTCCAAGCAGAGGTTGTGGGGGAATGATCGTTAGCTTTTTATATATGGCCCTTTTTTGTCGGTACCCCCAGTCGGTGGCCGGCGACCTTCTCTAGCTAATGGATACTGCCTGGCCAATTTGATACTGTCTTTTTGCCACCGAAAGGGATCTGCTTGGAGATTAAATGTAACGGAAATGAAAAGAAACCTACGGGTTTGCGGAAAAGGCAGGCTAGCCTGGCACGCTTTGGGTTTACGGAAACCCGAAACCTACAGTAGGGTCACTGGAAGACAGACAAAGAATGTCCAGACTGTGCATGATGTACAAAATGACTAAAAACTGGTGGACGTACCAACCACTAAGTATCTGATACCAGCCCAGAACAGAACAAGAAACAGTTATGCCTTCAAACATCAGAGTTATCAACCAAGAATAAAAGATCATAGAGACGGTGTTTAAAACTCGTATTTCCCAAGAACAAATAGAGAGAAAGTACAGTGGTTTGCCGCACCCTGTACTTTCTAGCGGACCAAATCTAGCTCTCACTAGTAATTAAATTTGGCCTCAGGGACGAGAACTGACTAATTCAAAATAGTGGAGAGAGCTCCAAGGGAACTTTCCCTTCAACTTGGTGCCACCGAAACCACGCCAGATGACGTACATGTATTTTGAAATGAGTCTCGTTTCTATATATATAGCTATGAACAAATATTGTGTCTCCCTGCCTGCATAAATCGCACCCAATGCCCGCCGACAATGGAGGGGAGGGCCCTAGGGGCCCATGTTGTCCCGTGGACTGGAAGAAATAGTGTACTGTAAGACAGACAAACTGCTTCACGCCGTGCATTGTTAATAGCAAGGTCACTACACCTTCGGCTTGATCCCGTCATGGGAAAATAATTGTTTCACAGGAACCTTTTATCGAACTGACATTCTGTGGATCAAAATTGGCCAAAGCTAACTAGAACACGGACTCACAGGTACTTGGGTATCTGACAGAAGTAGTAACTTACTAGTACATTGCTTGTCTGAAGATAGTTAATCGGGGACGTCAAAACGTTTTATCAAACGCACCATTGTTCAATAGTCCATTCATTGTTCAATAGTTTATTCATTGGTTGGAAAGCACATGTCGTGTTTAGCGCTATAGCCTAAAGCTTTCCGAATACAAAGGGTGCGCCATACATGTAGGTGTACCGTGTACTGTCGTGTCCAAGTTGCCTTTATGACAGGAAACTTGTTGTATGTAGGAACTTACAATTTGATACGAAGTGCGGCACGCAATTTTCTGCCAAATTGTGGGTATATATATATATATATATATAATTTTTTTTTATTTATTCATTCACATGAAAAAAAGATACAGGACATGGTGGTGCCGCACTCAAGTGGAAAGCACTTATGTTGACGGCACCACTAAATAAATACATATAATAAAGAAAAAAAAAACAATCGCAACTTTAAGACAGGCAAAAAACAGTAAATACAAGAAATTCAAGAGCGCAGGTCCGGTTCCCCACCCAATGGTAAATGATGGCAAAGAGAGGACACAGTACATAAATAACAAAGGGGGAAATTGAAATCTTTTAAAAACGTTCTGATGTGGTGATGAAGTTTTGGGTAAGTGATAATATATTGGAGTTTACAACTGATGAGAATGCGGTACTGCCACGGAGTAAAAGGTCAGTTTTAGCGTTGTCAGAAAGAGTTGTAAAATCTAGTAGTATGTAGTCACCATGAAACGCACCAGTATCAAAATGACGTGTCGACAACAGCTGCAAGTTCTCAGGACTTTGGTCTCGCTCGCGCCATGATGTCTCTGACATACTTTTTGGCCTGTCTCAGATCGACTTGTATTAGCAGCCTGGCACCGCAAAGTACAGTTAGCTGACATTAAAAAGCGAAATTTTAACAACCAACTTGGCTAAGCAATAAAACGTACTGGTATTAGGTCTATACCCTGAAATAGCCTCTGCCGGGCTTCAGTGGTAGGAGATTAGTAGTAGAAAATGGCCAAATAGACAGATTATGTAAACACGTCAGGGGAGTTCACTAAAGTTCGCAGCGGACTTAAACTCCCCTGGCATGTTACATGTATCTTTGTATCTTGGCCAACTTTTAGTCTTTCCAGTCGCATCTGAATCCTGCTTGAGGCTATCCCTGGAGTGTCACACTCATACCGGCCGGGGTATGAAAAGTTTGGGATCGGACCAAAAAACACGTGTGCGCCACTGGAAGGGCAGCGGAAGCTCGTTTTTAACCGAAGTCGACATATAGCCTGGACAAAAAAACCGTCTCAGTTGTGTTTTTGTAGTAGCTTACTCAGAATAGTTCGCAAATAACTAACTGAGAACAACATATTAAATATTACTCACGATGTCTGGAGATCCTGTCACTCGGTGATTGATATGTGTAGGGTTAAATATGATATCAAAGGTCAGGCCCAACTTGTACCCGCGCTGGTGGGTGGTTGACTGCCCCCTCACCGAGTGTCCACGACAAGTCACAGTTCCAGGCCCAAGTCTGCCCTTCGAACTGAGACCCTCGTAGACGGCGACTGGGTGTATAAAACGGGGTTTCCTCGCCGAGTTTCACGGTACACGGGGCACCTTTATGCAAATTACTTCCTCCTACACCGGAAACTTGTGACGTCACGTACCAGCCTTCCCGCCCACTCCCGGTGACGTCAGTAGGTGCTAGACCAATGGCTGTACTCTAGTAATCTATTAATAGACTTTCCCCAAACAAACGGTGCTTTGTCCCTCAGTGTATCATATGGTGCCACAACGACCCTGAGGTAAGGTGAGGTATCATATTTTCATTTCCTTGAGACATGGAGTGGCATCATAAAACTAGACCCACACCCAGGATAAAGCCTTAGCTCAGGGCTATCCAAGTACAAGTTGTATTTGTCGGTCAGTCATGCTTATTATTTTTTTATGTTTACCGAAGTGTATGTTGTCCCAAACACTATAACCTCTGACCTGGCCAATGACATGATTTGTTGACGCCAATGACATGATTTGTTGACACCTGTCACCATGGTGACAGGTGTTGGGTTACATAATGTTGCAATTTCATGGTCTGCTCTGCTCCTGTCACCATATACTAGTAGTACATGTATATGAATGTGTTCGAGTAAAAATTAACAGAGCAGACCATGTCCGAAGGTAAACATTATACATTTGCTTTGTAAATGTTACTTCACTAGTTTTAAAGTTCTTTCTTTTTATTCATTTCAAGATAGAAAATCATGGCACAACAAAATTCATGACGCACATGCACGACAACAAAACTGATAAATAAAACCAGTAGACAATAAGGACAATAGAAATAGTTATGCTTATTTATGGTTATATGACTCTATTTTTATGTAACACAGTTAATCATTCTGATGACTATAAAAGATAAGAGCAAGGTGTTTTTCATTAAAATAGCATAGGATTTATTATATTAACATCGACATACAGCACATCTTTCGAGATGGAAGGATGCCTACAATACATGATAGTAATCATACATGTAGCTGGCTTCGTTTTCTTTCTTTTAATGCATTAATTAACGATCTAATGAACAGCTCCATACCCTAATAAGCTCAAAATTGTTGCAACGTCTTTTTTTTATCACACAATATTTTCACCTGTAGTAATTCCGTCAAATTGTACAGCATTCAATTTCAACTCCTAGCATTCTTCAATGGAATATGTGAGGACAATTATGGTCATTCCCTCAAATATCTTCTGACATGGAAAATTCTCAGAAGTTAATAATATGATTATTATTTCAATGCACAATATCTGAACTACTACTTTGATCATCATTTGATCACCATAACATACGTTCCATTGAAATCTAGCACACCTTGGTCCAGATATTTGACACCTTAGACCTTAGTAACCTGACTTCATTCTGCTAGCCTGACATTGACATTGTGCTCAGTAACAAGTTTGAGGTCAATTTTAGTTGTTGTTTTCGACAGATTTTTCAGTGAACTAAATGTTCTAAAAGAAGACAATATTTCAAGATTCATTGTATACACATCAACATCAGTTTGATTACTAGTATTACAAATCTGCCAAACAATATACATTGTGCCAAATCCATTCAGTTATACCTGACATTACTACACATAAGTTTACACAATAATCTGGTCAATGACTGGCAACAGCACATTAAAAATATTCCAAATGTCAAATGACTTTTCAAAGAGTATCAGAATTAAGAAAAAAGGAGTGGCATATACTATCAACTATTACACAACAAATCAAGCTGCAATTAAATCAGTTTCATCATATGTGCATAAAATTCAATAAAATTCTTGCAACAATCTTTGCTGTATATTGTGACAAGCATCCCTTTGCAAAATAACATTTGTACCTTGTTATAATCTTAACTGGAGTTAGCACAGGAAGCTAGTGAGCTAGAGGTCTATCAAGAATGCATAACATCATACAAAGACTCATTATCCAAATGTATAACTATTCCTGAAATACATAATGGCAACAACTGTTCATGGTATCTTAATCACAATGTAAAGTAGATTCCAATGAAAGTATAACATTGTCATATTTGCCATGAAAAATATAAACAATTTTGGCTCCCTAAACACCCCAAGATTGACCCAAAATGGGATGGTCCTCCTTTGAAGGATAACATTTCATTGGTCAAAGAGGACATGTGCACCACAAGGATGCATTATAGGACCAGATTTGATTGGAACATTGATTAGTTGCTATTCATGGTTCAACAAAACTTATATATGCTAGCAATTTCTTGTTCAATGCACAGGTGAATATTTTCTGGACATTTACAATTTCTGAGATGAGACGCAGCATACATGTATACTGTCACTGTTCTACTGATAATGTTTGTCAACTGAAGTAGAAGAATGCTTTAAAACAATATAAAATCTTTCAAGAGCTTCAATGTACCTAGCATGCATAAAACAAATTTAAAGAAGGAAACATCAAATTTTTTGGGCAAGATTTAACATTTAGGTCATAACATTCTGGTCCCATAGACCTTACTTATAATACAATAATTAACGTTACAAAGAATGATATTCCCCCTTCCACCTTTATCACAACCATCTTGGCTATTAATAATATTGTGCTGTTGTTATTTGTTTGCTTGGTAAAAAGCACAAAAATCTATACTGCAAAAATGAGTCCAGAGAATGACCAGGAAGGATTGACAGAAGTGTATGTCACTGTGACCAAAAAATAATTCAGAATAGTAAGATAAAATTAAAATATAATATGCATATGAAAACTAGTAAGGCCACACCAATTTAATTTGTTGGTTCTCGGATTCGCCTCTTCATTTTTTTCTGATTTGCAAAAAAAAAAATTTGATTCTGGTCCTGAATCGACTGAAAAATGTTCATGTTTTGCCCCCAACAGTTGAGGAAAGTCCTTTTCTTCCTAGTTGTTACAGTTTTCCCATCTATCATTGCAGTGATTAAAAGTTCAAAATTCAATGTTTAAATTTTAACTCAGCCTTTTGTGTTGACTTCATGGCTCATTCCGTAGCATTTAAGCCTATAATGGGATGCCAAGACCTGTTTTTATTTTTATTTTTTTTCGCCCTGTCGCTTCATATTTTTTCAGAAAAAATCTGAGAACCAACAAATTAAATTGGTGTGGCCTAAACCATCCATTGGCAAAACCCTAATCCTGAACATGAAGTTGGTAAGTACAACCTGTACTCTAGTATCTGACAGCTATAAGTACTCTTTTTCAGAAGTACGAGGTGGATTTTTGAGATGGATTTTTAATGTGGCTTTTTGGGGTGGCTTTCCTCAGTCTTGACTGACTGCATGTACATGTACATGTACTAATTATGTACTAGGCTGGGCAGTCAACACCAAACATTGCCTGGTTTCCTGTGGTTCCAGGTATTGTAGGGAAGGGTCTGCTTACGTCATCTGGAAACGTACCAGTCACGCAACGCGTTTGTTTGGTCTGACTGCTTATATAGCAAACATGAACTGGCAAGTAGCCTTCGGGCATGATTTTGCAAATACAAATTTTCTCAAAGAATATACTATCCATAGATCTACACAAATGGAAGCAGGAAATGGTATTAACAGCAAATAATGATGTTGACAAGAAAGTAAACCAAAGAAAGATTTTCACAGAAATCTTCATGCTAATCCTTCCTGGCACACCTCTTATTATAAGCAATGTCACATTATTAAAATTTACAGGAACAATCTTTATTGTTCATGAATGTTACATCCTCATGCACATACATTCATGAAAGGAATAATTATATATGATCATTCATAATACCTGTGAGTACAGATTCTGGGTAAGATTTAACTTTCTTCCTGCTGCCTAACCTTGTAACCAATAGAGAATTGGCAGCCAAACAGCTACTTCTGTGTGCTTCAAATTAATTAAAAGTAACATGGATTGTGAATGTAGAAAGAGGAGGATGTAAAATTTAATGATTCAAAAGGGTAAAACTTAAGAAACCTGCACAATAATGCCTTCAAGAACAAATCAAAACTAAGGGTTACACAGAAAGTCAACTTTAATACAGACAAAAAAATCAGTCTAGCAACCTTTGTCGATGAACAACAAATACATGTACCATACATGTACATCATACATGTATCATGATGAAAAACTTAAACTTTTCTCCAACTCAAAATTTGACTCACCAGACATTTTTGACTGAATCACTCAGTCTTCCTCAACTATCTGACCCAAATGCTGTGGACACGTGATTTTTCCCACGTGTGACGTCAGCAAAGGGTCCACAGGATTTGGGTCAGATAGCTGAGGAAGACTGAGTGATTCAGTCGAAAATTTCTGGTGAGTCAAATTTTGAGTTGGAGAAAAGTTTAAGTTTTTCATAATGTAAGTTACCAACTCAGATGAACTTTCATGCTGATACATGTATCATGATAAGAAAGGAAATTGCATAAAGTATACTAAGTAATTAGATGTCTCCTACTGATTTAATACACAAAACACAATCAAGTTTTTGGAAAGATGCTGCTTTTCTACAGTAAGAAAGTGTGATTTACTGGGTATTAATATTCAAGACTGATTACCAAGAATATTTCTATATATATATTTATAAGGGCTATAAGCACATTTTAGTCTATGTTTGGCTGTATTATTCCAGCTGATGCAACCAAAAGTTCACCTTGCAACACAAAGCATATATAAGCCACATTGTACAACATTCACAGAGCCATAAAATTTACAAACAATTGTACAAAACACAGATAGGTTGAGCTGATTTACAACTTTGACTTTATATGTGATACAGAAATGTTACTGGGAGAGGAAAATGTTTGATTTCGAGTTGACATGAGAGAGAACACAGCTGTGGCATAAGTCAATGGAACAACCAATACATTGCTGGCTTAGAGGGCCAGTCTGTAATGTGATAGTCAGTAGCCATGTTGGTGTTTTGGGCTAGCAAATAAGGCCACACCGACTTAATTTTATGGATGACATCCGTGCGCGCATTGATTTTTGCCTGATCAACAAAAAAAAAAAAATCACGTCTTCCGAGGCTCTGGCCTTACTTTTGGCCTGGGTAGTCCAAGGTAGTTAGCGACAACGAAGCCGGTGGTAACTCTGGAGGAAGGCATCCAGGCTGCCGAAGCTCCACGAGTCAAGAACTCAGTACATGTACGTACAGTGTCGATTCATGAAGTCTGCAAAAAGCCAACATGTGCCGGCTTGTCGTATATTGTACATCGCTATGTAATGCGCCAAATTCATAATAGCGGCTTTGTATTCCTGTGGTTAGTAGCATTTTTATTTTTGGCCGGTTTTTTCTTTTTTTTCGCCCGCACGCACTAGTTTGGAGGTTTCAGAGGATGTCATCCATAAAATTAAGTCGGTGTGACCTAAACAAGTAATTTGTGACCTGTAATAGACTCTTGCATGGTCCTCTTAAAGTATGGTGGATAAACACTGACCAATGTATATATATGAAAGAGAAGCATTTTTAAATTGGATGTCAAAAACTTTTTTTCACTTCATTATTTATGGACAAACATTAGATGTTGTCCTAGATTTGACACATGATTCTTGTATCCTAATATTGGTCCTCATCAAATTTCATTTAAATATAACTACATTTCAATTATACTTATTTGCATTTTTAAAGCAATGTGATACTCAGAATTATTCCTCTCATAATTGACTAGGAAAAAGCTCTTTCCAACAAATATCATAAAATTCTAAAATTCATAAATGCATTCAGAATTAGCAATTTGAAGTTATGTATGTCAAGTCAAGTAAATAAAATACGATAATAAAAATTTCCAAGGTTTCAAAATTAATATGGTGATACTGGAGTCAATTTATGATCATCAGATTATTTAGCTGTGAAATTTTCAGGGAATTTGTTGCACAACATGACAAAAAGAATTGTACTATTTCATTGTCTCCACAGCTGTGATGCTCTTCTTACGTCAACTTTCATTGGTCAAACTGAAGACTTTCAAACTGATGCTGTTCACTGCAGGTATGTGATTGGTGTGGTTGAAGTCTATCCCCAGAAGAGTTGAAACGACTGTTACGTCGGCTTCTTGGGTACAGGAGGTTCCCGGAAGTTTTGCTGCAAGGGAAGCAAACGAGAAACATGAATGTAAAATTGAGCTCAAGTATTTCGATGCTTACATCAGGTCAAACTTACATATAACAGTTACATGATACTGTACCTTTTCTCTCAGTTTTCCAACATTCTCATACACTGGTTTCTCTGGCTCTGGAGTCCTGTAGGTATGAAAAATAGGGTCAGTAAGTCAGTAGGATATGAAAGAGGAAGGATTATTTTTATCAGTTTTTGCCTCAAATGTCAACTTTCATGGCATCCCTGTTTTGTTTTGTTTTTCACACAGTCTTACATGTATGTCCTTGGTCACAATTACATAAACCTGAAGTAACAAAAGGGAAATAAAAGGACTTTGTTGACTGTTCTAAGAATTTATGGTATCTTTTATTTGAACTGCAGACTGTGAAAAACTGAAAGATATTGTCACAATAGCAGAGTCTGACATAGTAGAATAGTTAAAATCCCAAACATTACTTGCTACTGTAATGCTTCAGAGTTGTATCTAGTGGACTGACTGTGGAAGTGTCTTGGCCTGTTCCGGTCTGGGTGCGGTTGGAGGGCCGGTTGAGACCGGTGGGATGGCTGGAGAGGTGGGACCGGGCGGGGGTTTGACCAGCCGGGGGTCCATGCCTCCTGCATCCTCGTTGGAGTACTTGATGTTGGTGTAGTCTCTTCCTGCAACTTTCTGTGGGAAAAACATAAGGTAAGGTAAGTAAGGTAATGAGGCAAGGTAAGGTATTAGGTAGGGTAAGGTAGGGTAGGGTAGGGTAGGGTAGGGTAGGGCAGGGCAGGGCAGGGCAGGGCAGGGTAGGGTAAGGTAAACGTAAGGTAAGGTAAGGTAAGGTAAGGTAAGGTAAGGTAAGGTTAATGTAAGGTAAGGTAAGGTAAGGTAAGGTAAGGTAAGGTAAGGTAAGGTTAATGTAAGGTAAGGTAAGGTAAGGTTAATGTAAGGTAAGGTAAGGTCAACGTAAGGTAAGGTAAGGTAAGGTATAAGGTAAGGTAAGGTTAATGTAAGGTAAGGTAAGGTAAGGTAAGGTAAGGTAAGGTTAATGTAAGGTAAGGTAAGGTAAGGTAAGGTAAGGTTAATGTAAGGTAAGGTAAGGTTAACGTAAGGTAAGGTAAGGTAAGGTAAGGTAAGGTATAAGGTAAGGTAAGGTAAGGTATAAGGTAAGGTAAGGTAAGGTTAATGTAAGGTAAGGTTAACATAAGGTAAGGTAAGGTAAGGTAAGGTAAGGTAAGGTAAGGTAAGGTATAAGGTATAAGGTAAGGTAAGGTAAGGTATAAGGTAAGGTAAGGTAAGGTAAGGTAAGGTAAGGTCAGGTCACTATCTGGGGCAAACTCAAGTAATGTCCCACATAAGTGAGAATGATTAAAGAAGTTGGAAAAGTTGACTTTTAAATGCAGACACAATCCAGCCTATTACCGCAAGTCTCAGTCAGCTATACAATGTATGTGGTGTAACAAATAAAGTTCAAAATGTGACGCAGTGAAGAACTGACCGTCTGTGCGGCTATTCTCTTGGACACCGTCTCAATGTGGTGCTGCACGGCCATGTACACAAACTTGTACTGAGCCTCTGTCTGCACCATTCCTGACCGCTGGGTCCGCATGTGCTGGATGGTCTTCTGGATGTCAATCTCACAGTCCAGACCTGGAACAGTTACAACATGGTTCTCTTTACTTTTCGATACCTTTTTACATGAAAAATAGTGTCTGGAGGTGACTGATTTATTGCATGTGTGAAGTGACTGTGTGTTTGTGTGCGCCTTCTACAAAAAATACAGTATATGCACATGGTCTACAGCATGTCTGAACACTGTACAAGTCATAGTACCTAAATTGTAAACTGTTCAATTGGAAAATATGCTAAACGCATACTGCCAACATTGTACATCTTGCTTAGATAATGACTTACCAAATTTCTTGATCAGGTTGAGGATGATGTCAACAACGATGAATGTGCCAGTTCTCCCAATACCAGCACTGAAAATAAAGAGGTACATGAAGATGGAATTGAACCAATTTCTCTCCCCATATTTAGATTAACCCTCAGTGCAGAAGGATTTAATTCAGGTTGTCTTAAAATTAGGATTAGAATAATATAAATGCATTTTCAAGTGCACCAATTTGTAGTTTAAATAGTGTCATTGGTAATCAATTCATTTTATTATTTTTTTACTGTCAAATCTTTATATGTTTGTGATGGTTTTATTTTGTTTTTCACAGTGACTTTTTCACTGTGAATTCATTACACCAATAAACATGCATTTCCAATGTATTACAGTAACTACTGTGCTACAAAATTGTTTCAAACACAAACTTCCCCACTACATAACAGAGTGCCCAGTACCTGCAGTGCACTACCATTGGTCCCACATCCGGGATGTTCTCCTGTTTGGTGTTTGTCTCGTGGAGGAAGTTCAGCACACAGCCAGGGTCCCCGGGGACACCATGGTCAGGCCACGCTTTGAAGTGGTAGTGGTAGATGGTGCGCGGGGGGTTGTTCTAAAAATACAAAAATACAAAATGCAGATACCGGTAGTCACCATTGGGCGAGGACTTTTGAATTTATTTATTTATTTATTTCATCTTAAGACGGCTGGTTAGCCCCATTCAGATTACATTAGCTGTTTTCCAAGGGGGCCCAGCAAAAATTACACAAGACATTGTTACATACAGTAAGACAAGAGTGGACAACATACAGTAAACATAAAAGTCTGATGCGTCAAAACAGAGTCATAGTCATATACTCAAAGTCCTAGCCGTTCAAAGGTCAAAAGCACGAAAATCAAGGAAAGCACCTGTTCACTTCCACGTGTCCAGAGCTGGCTATTCAATCAGTGTGTTAATAATATCATCTTTTGATGCTGTTAACTGATACATATAGAATACAACATGGTGTATTCCATATCGCCCGAGGTATCAGCCCAACCGTGATGGCCGGAGGGAGATCCGATTCGTGGGAGGGCTGGGACCAAGGGTGATGCAGAATACACAGCGTTGTATTTTATATGTTATATCCACCAAAAAAAGACACATTTCAATGATATGTGCCCAAATTTGGTGTCCCTAAACAAAAAATTGTAAAAACATCCAACACACACAAAAATCATCAAAATTATTCTATGGAACAGTTTTAGGTACGTTTTGTAGTGATTATGTTATATCATCTCACTAACAGAGCATGCTATGAATAGCATTTTATATTTTAAATTTCTGTCCTCCCTCATAATCATGCAACAATCCAACGATTCAGTAATTATACTGTCACAGCAACTAGTTACCTGTCAAAATATTCCAATCTTGACTGAAAAATGTCCTGTTTACTTTATATTCCATGCAGGTGGTAGGAACTAAATATTTATAGGGCTATTTTGGGTTTCAGATATGAATAAAGATATTTTGATCTTCTGATTGTAATCTGAAAAATTTGATCCCACACTTCAAACAGACACCAGATTTCACTAATCAGTTGTGGCGTCTGTGTGGTGTAGTGGATAGAGCGTCCGACTGTCAAGCAAGAATACCCAGGTTCAATCCCCAGGGCTGGACCCAGATATGTCCGGACATGCACCCAGACGTTGTGCCCTTGGGAAAGGCACTTAACACGCATTTCCCCCCTCAGTTAGAGGGATCCTAGGCCCTACTAGGGTTTGGGTTGGCGTTAAGAAGAGCATCCAGCCATAAAAATCCTGCTTCAAAAAAAGACTTGCAAGCACGTCTAACCCCCGGTTGGGGAAAAATAATGTTAAATTTGGTTTTAAAAAAAGTTCAGCTTGGTTCGTTCAACCTGTTAGGTAAAAAACGGCATAAATGTCCCTGGCTCCAAAGTGTGACAGATCTTAAATCTGTTAGACCTGCTTAAATCTGTTATATGTTTCCCACATTAGGACCTTTGAAGCTGATACAAAATGTAAGATTAGTTTCCAAGTATCCTAGTTCATCATTTTTCAGTCAAACATTCTCCTCAATCAGTATTTTTCAAGGAAAGATATGCAAAACCTGCTTAAATCTGTTTCCCACGTTAGGACCTTGGAAGCTGATACAAAATGTAAGATATTAGTTTCCAAGTATCAATCACTTTATATATACTACTGTCATGCTGTTGTGGAGTGTCCATACTATGAGTGTATACAAATTTGTACTGCTTTTGGCATAACTTAAGACAAAGGAATTTATTAAGAAATAACTATGATAGATAATAATATTCAATGTAAAAATGATCACTACATTGCTGAATATAGCTTTAAAAATTTTTTGCCTGTTTTAAATCTTAACTTCAAGCCATAGACAGTAAGAATTTGCCAAACACGCCATACCTCCCCTTCCTTTGTGACCTCTAGTTCCCTCAGTGTGTAGTCTGGGAAGTTGGTCTCAGACAGGTGCCTGATGAGGAGGGTTCCGTACGACTTCTTAGTCCCCGGCTCAGGCCAGTACCTGGTACATTTGTTCTGAGGAATAGAGGGAAGGGAAATCTCACAGTAAGGCAACAACTGCAATAGAATTTGAGAAAATAGTACTAGATATTTATGGCTTTCACATCTATGGGTTCTCCTTTCTTGAAGATTCAGAGTAGATGACAAAGCATTCACAACCTAATAAAAACCTAAAAATAAAATATACAAAACCTATGAAACCTATGATATAAATTCTATTAAGACGCATCAAATATCAAATGCAGGTGGCGCAATAGATGCTTAATCAGTATAAAAGTACATATTTATTGAATAAACCATGTGTTTTTCTTCCTCCAAACTGATGGCATGCTGTATAAGTATATTTTGATTATAATATCATAGAATCAACCAATCAGAACAGAGGTTTTACCTTGCCCCTTTCGACCTCCTTGGTTGTCATGACGATGACCCTTGTGTTCTCCTGCCAGATCATCTTCCAGTAGTCGTTGACGGTGGCTGGGAGGCAGCCTTGTGTGGCGATGTACTGTTTCTTCCGTTCACCATCCTCCCCTTCCGGCTATAGGATCATCAAGTTGTCATCAATATGTCAGTTAAACAGTCAAATGTTACGAAAAAAAAAAAAATGGTAAATTCCTCTCACCCACCTCGAGCTCTCTGCTGTCGAAAATACACACACTGTTGTCAGGGTTCAAAATACTAGGTACTGTGCAGGTATTTCTGATGTCTACCTGCACCTAACCTGCACTGGTCCATGTACTGGGTATATGTAGGTTAGTGCAGGTAAAATTGGAGCTGTGCAGGCATTTCTGATGTCTACCTGCACCTAACCTGCACTGGTCCATGTACAGGGCATATGCAGGTAAAATTGGACTTGTGCAGGCATTTCTGATATCCTAACCTTCACTGAGCCATGAACTAGATTTATATTTAACATGTAGGTACAAAAATTGATGAAACAGAAGCAATCTTAAAGTTTTAGTGTGAAACATCTGGAAACTCACCAGTACATAGTTGGCGTTGATGTACTCTGCACAGGGGACGTTGACGTCTATGTCCTTCAGTTTGACTCGGGTCTCATCAACTGGAGAAGATGTTTATCAATGTCAGTGATACAGAGATACAGAACCTACACGTTTGTTTGTTTGCTTGTTAGGATCTCAATTACTAGTAGTGTAAATGCCTCACTATTCTTCCTCGAGTATGTAGTGAATCACCAACTTTCAGATAGTAGTATTTTGACCATTGCACATTGGGGCATGCCCCTACTGTTTTTCAAAAGGTGTTGTTGGTTTTTTAATATGCATGGGGCGTGGCTCTCCCCAAAGCACGGGACCTCCATTTAACATCCTACATGTATCTACAGGACAAGCTTACAGGACATTAGCAAAAATCAAGCAGCTTTGTGAACTTTTAAAGTACAAACTTTGAAACAAGAGACATCCTTTATCAAAATTACAAGGGATTAGTGGATTATAGTTGAAACTAGAAAGGCCAATATTTGCTTTGGAGCAAATACAGCGATGGGTTCACCACATTTTACGACATGGCAGGGAAAGAATGGGAAACACAAGGGAAAACAATGATTTACATTGATATAACTATAATATGAAGTAAAATACAACTAAAACAACAGTTGGATAGCTATTCCCTACTTTATTGGTTAGGATTTTTAATTGCATAATGCAAACTGTTGATTTTCAAAATAAAAAAAAAAACGTCCATGCCCGGCATTCCAATGCTGGAGCAGGAAAGCTTGAAATACCTACCAAAACACTTGAATACAGACATACTGTCAGTATGGAAATGCTTCTGTGCAGGTGTTAATCAAGTTAAATCCCAACAGCCAATCAGCAAGAAGTATAGAGGAAAGCTGCATGCCTATTGGATGATGCCCTGCATACCATTCTGATGACTCATGCCCAAACGTGGTAAACAAGGCAGACTAACACAGTAATACATTTGCTATAACACAGCCAAAAAACTCAAATAAAACCATTCTAAAAGCCTGTATCACAATAATTTAAAAAACGCCTAGGGGTATTTGCCCACTGTACCTCCATACCAAATTTCAGGACCTTAGGCCCTAAAATGAAGAAGCTGAATCCATTTAAAGATATGGCAGGAGGAGGAGGAGGAGGAGAAGGAGAAGAAACATCAGAAAAAGCAATATGGTTTCACCACACCACTTCGTGGTGTGGTGAACCCATAAAAAAAGATATATATTAGTAAGAACATTGACAGAAAATCATTAACAAGTTTGTTTCTGAGTCAGAATTTTAAGCACTTACACGGCAGAATGTTCTTGTATCTGTTCTTGGTCTTGTTCTCAGGCCGGGCTCCTTCCTTCCTGCTGCGAGTGTCTTGTCGGCATTCTTGCTGCTGCAAAAACTGGAGGGACAAAATATTCAACAGGTTCAGAGAAGCACAACTACATATTTAACTGTAGGATTTCTCCGAAATATTGAGTACTAAGTGTTCCCTTCGTGTTTAGCAGCTATAACTGATGTGAACTGGGCTTCACATCTGTCAATTCAATTTCTTCTTTTCCAAAAAAAACTACAAAAGAATGCACAGTGATTGCTGAAAACGTCATAATCGCAGTACGTAGTGCATCATTTCAAAGCCTTTCGTGACCAAAGGAATGTGAGAGGTCAACATTTGTTTTATTGATCTTTATCCAAGGACCAGGTGAAGGATTTTCTACATCTGTTTAAAGGCATCTAATGCAATTTCAGGGCAGCAAAACAGAAAAAAATATTCTGGATGAGAAAATCTGTCTGATATAATTGACATTTACTGCCATTTCTTAGCATTTTTTTGTCATCATTTCAAATTGAAGCATTTGAAATACTGGTAGACCAATACATTATGTACGTGAGGCATCTCTTTATTTTTTGGTACCGCCCATAAATAGCTACAACCTAGGATACAAAACATGCAGTCCGTTTCCAGCGACATTATGATAGCATTTTTGCCTCACAGATATCACACTGAGTATGCTATGGAGTAGAGTTCCTTCAACTTTCAACATTAGACCAGAAAATTGACTTTGGAAAATCAGGTTTTGTCGCACAGAAATTAAGGTTACCTCAAACTCCTCCCAGAAGCCTGCCTTGCCCTCGTGAACGGGGTTGTCCTTCTGTAGCTCCTTGACTCTGTCCTCGATACTGGAGGCGTTGATTCTGGTGGCATTGAAGGGCTGAAGGACACAGCAACAAAACAACTCTAATTTCTAGACTAAATAACTTCAAGGTTTACTAGTAGTTAACTATCTTAAGTATAAATTTACTATTTTAAAATGTTTCAGCGACATGATTTTATCAACAATTTGTATATGCTATGTTCAAACATGGGTGCAACATACAACTACTCAGAGCCCAACATTTTTACTTTTTTTACAATGTATGTACTTGTGAAATGAACCATAGATATTTAACCATTAACCATACATTTATGTAGTCTTCATAAAATTATGAATCTTTATTTCAATGCTGTGCCATCTTTCTCTCTTGGAACATTTTGTCCTGAATGTCTTTTTAAAAAGAAAACACAACAAACCTGGAAACTGGAATGAAAATGGCTTAGAGGGTAGCAAATACTGTAAATCTTGAAAGTTTCACCATTTTAATTTTGCAGCTTTTGTGGTGACCTCTTCACTGCGAATCTATGAGACTGCTGTACTACAGAATTGTTTTCACAGAAAATTCAAAACATCACAAAAATCTAGAGATAGGGGAATTCTTTTTACACAACCAAAGAGTCTCACCTCGCTGACGTTTCGGTGTCTGTCAGACACCTTCTTCAGAGCTTCTGACTGGAGTACTGCATCTCGCCGCTATATGTAGCCGATGTAGGTGGCGCTTTTGCGGCGAGAACACTATCCCAAACGTGGCTTAGTTTGTACCCCCCCTCGTCCCGGAGTGAGACTCTTTGGTTGTGTAAAAAGAATTCCCCTATCTCTTAAGTTTTACCAACCTGATGAAACTATTTTCGGAAATCACGAAAATCTCCTTTTCCCTCCAAAATAAAACCACCACAAAAGTAAATGAATTTACAATGCCAGTCCTATGTTATTACCGCCGGGGGAGGAGACATCCTTCCGCGGAAGGGTTTTGTGAGAGATTTAGATTTTCATGTTCACAGCTGTTTCTCGCGTTTGGGTGGACGGATTCTTCTGAGACTCGGTATATGTTTTGCTATTGGGCTGCAGATAATGCACTTTCTTTTGTTTTTATTGTATATGTGTTTTCAGGCGTGAAAATGGTGCCTTTTGGTGGCCCCAGAACACCCCTTTGAGCGTGAAAGTGGTCGCGACCGTTGACCTTTGGCGTGTATTAGGTATTGTCGGTCTCGTCCACGAAGGTGACCCCTCGCACACAGGGGTGTCCGGTCTCGATAAATTCTTTGTTTAAAACCCTTATCCTGCAGCGCGCGACAATTGTTGTTGTAAACAACATATAAAAATATACATTTTGTTGTACAATAAAAAGCCCAGAGGTATAAAATCTCAGATTTTACAAATTTTGTTTTATCTTTTTATACTGTACCTGTTTAAGGTGTACAACAGTCCCTGAAGTCTCGACCATGGGGTTCTTCTTGTAGTGTTCCACCAGATCAGTCAGGCTGTCAAACTTTTCACCCCCTCCTACATCATACTTCCCATCCTATGGTCAAGCACAGCACAAAACAAGGGCACGGTGGTATATGTACATGTATGGTGAGGAACAGTGATTTATAAATAATTGTAGACAGTGTTCAGACTGTGAGAAGTTAGGCTTACAATAAACATGCAAAACCTGTTGGGCCTCATTTGTTACAGTGTACAAAATACTTTTTTGAACCAGATTGCCCAGTGGGCAACCTACGGTAAAAATTAGGTTGCCCATCAGAATTTTAGGTTGCCCCACCTATATAAGTTACTACTTTCCTCAAATTAAGTAATGTTACTACATAACCTTTGACAATATTTCTAACAGCCTTTAGTTAACTGATACAAGTAATAGCCATTAATACCTAAAATGAAAAAGCATCTGCCAGATACAGTGGTGCAAGCCATGTGGGCATGATTGGGGGGGGGGCATTCTCAAAATTCAGGTAGCACACTGGGCTACCTAGGTTCAAAAATAGGTTGCCCCAAGTAAAATTTGATTGCCCAGGGCAACTGGGCAACCAGGTATTTTGCACGCTGTGTTAGTACACATGTGGTACAACACATGTATATTTACATGTGAACATACACAACAAACTTGTTGACATGAAAGTATGTCTTATGTACCTACTGTACATGTAAACATCCAGTATACATGATTTTATGTACAGTTTCAAGAACACCAAAAGTTAACCTACGAAACTAAGTATCCATTCGAACAAAAAAGTCATGCTACATTAAATTTTGAAATAATAGTGTACCATGACAGTCTATTCTTATTTGCAAGTGTTACAAATATAATACAGTAATGCTGTAACCAAGGACACTGTACATGTACAGTACCGTTCGCGTTATAGTTAACCGGGTACCCCGTTACTAACGAGTTATTTTTTCGTCAGAAAATGGTTAGAAAATCGTCAGTATTTGGTTAGATTTTCGTCAGAAAATGGTTAGAAAATCGTCAGAAATTATTTCTAACGCGTTACCGTTTGCGTTAATGTGATAGGGTCGGATTTCATGTTTGTTTTGCGCGCCGACAAGACAATAGCAATTTGCCACCTCCTGGGGCGTCCGCTAATGTGTTGCGATGTTGCCCCTTGAAAAATAACAGCACCAGAGGCAAGTGGACATGTGATTCGTAAAATAACTTTGTGGTTTATCCATGTGTCGACTGTGTGAAGCGAATTGTGCTATCTTTTAATGCTATTCTATAGTTATTTCTAGCGGAAAATTAAAACAAAGTGTAGCAGTGGGCAGACGATGTCTTGTACATTTTGTACCAGCGGCGGCCTACCGCTCTCACAGGACGTCATGGGACGTGACGAAACAAGAAATATCTGCCGCAGAAGAAATATAAATCGGTAACTCATGCCTTAAATTCACGGCGGTTTTTGACTCAAAAGAAAAATTATTATAATTTTTGTAAGGCGCGCGGCTTACTAGTACTAGCGGCTTTAATACTCACGGTAAAATGTACCGTCACTCCCGGCGCAAGGACTCGGTTCGCCAGCTGAGGACTTTCCACAACCATGATGATATCATAGTTAATAAAGGAATATATAATATCATGTTGAAATGATAATTGTAATACATGGTTCTATTTAATAGCGGTAGTTTTGTTTCTTATTTTGAGGGGGGAAACTGTCAAAAATCGAGGGAACGCAAACTGAGATCGGCTCACTTCCGGGTGCATAACGCCAAAATTTCTCGACGATTATATAAAAATGACCACTCATTTGCCGCCTACGGTAGCGTGTACATGGTAGTGCGATCATATCGTGCCAAAGTCAGCGTCAAACGTCAGAAAATCCCCGTAAAAATATAGTTGCAAAACACATTTCCCGCGCACTCAGGGCCGGTCGCCCTGGCCGCTGCCTCCCTGTGTGCAGCATGCTCATTATAATATGCAAGTAGCTACGCTCTGATTGGTTCACCTTAGATGACCTGCGCTGTGATTGGCTAGAACGAAGCCCGTTGCATGCTGGGGCGCCCTTCCCCGCGCGAAATGATCTCGAGAGAGCCACATTTACGCTGGTTTCTACCTTATTTCTACGACTAATTAGCAACATCCTAGTGACGAAATGCGTACTCAAAAGAATTTTCGGGAAAAAAGATATATGTACATGTGGATTTGTTGTGCCTTTGGCGTAATTTTGTTGGTCACATACAACGTAATGTAACACGGAAGTGCATGGAGTCGGAGTGGCGGCACGGCTTTCCGTCCCACTCTAAACAAAACTCCAAGGACATAACAAAACTCCCCAAAACTGGTCAATAATTAGCCATAAAAATGTTGGTGGGCACGTGTAAATATGCTGCCTTTTTTCGAGTGTCATAGGAATTTTCCACGATGTTTTTGCACATCCCTAACGTTACCTCACGCCCGCCGCCTATTATGTACGGCGGACCGGGGCATTTATAACTTCAGATCATCTACTGTAGGTTTGCTTATTCGGTGGTAAAATAAGTTAACAGAGAAAAACAGCAAAACAAAGTTGACAAACTATAGAAACGCTTGCCTGGGCAACAGTGACAAAAGAAAATGTCTATCAAATTGAATTGCGCCGGTGATCGTAAAACGTTTTAAACGTTACAATATAGTAAAATGCAGGCTAGATCAACGTTCCTTCCGCTGTTCCAGCGGTGTGTATCGGTAATTTCCCGCCCCGCATGAGGTAAATTAGTACTCCTCCCATTATTCTGTGATGTTACCGCTGCCTGCATATGAATGCAGAAGTCTAACGGAAAAGTAACGGAAAAGTAACGGAAAACTTACGCAAAAGTTACGGAAAACTTACGGAAAAGTAACGGAAAAGTAACGGAAAAAAAACGCGTTAGTAACGGCCGTTAGGGTAACTATAACGCGAACGGTACTGTATATGGATATTAAAATGTCCTTGCTATAATGTTGTTCATCTTAGCACCACTGTCATCTCACCACCAGGAATGTAATGTGGACAATTATCCATAGCAAAATTTTTTAAGCTTGTTGATTTTTTTATGTTTGAAGTTTATCCCAAACAGGGCCTATAAAAAAGATTCAAACTGCAGTGCACCAATGTAAGGTTTAGAATCACTAAAACTAGTACTTAAGTTGGTTTTGGTTTCAAAACAAATGAAATTCCTTTCAAATTTGCACAACAAGTACATAATATATTCTATCTTTTGATCTAGCCGCGGCGACTGTTGCAGGGCTTCTCTTGCTTGCAGTCTTTTACATTAGCCCTAACAACAGTCGCGGAGCGGTGCATTGGGCCAAATGAACAAACATGCGTTTTACCGTGCCGGAACACTTTGAGACCGAAGTTTGCACGTCCCTAGATTCCTAACAGCCTCACCTAACGTGCCGGGGTGTTTTGCGCGTCAACCGGCCCCTGCGTGACTTGTACCGCCACTATTTGCGATCGCTCCCCACGTAAAACATAACAGTTGCCGCCATTTTGATTGGAATCAGCC